TGTACATATTACCTCAATTACCTCGACTAACCTGTTCCCCCGCACATTGACTCTGTACCCCCTGTATATAGCCTCCCTACTGTTATTACCTCCACTAACACATTGACTCTGTACCGGTACCACCTGTATATAGCCTCCCTACTGTTATTACCTCCACTAACACATTGACTCTGTACCGGTACCCCCTGTATATAGCCTCCCTACTGTTATTACATAGACTAACACATTGACTCTGTACCGGTACCCCCTGTATATAGCCTCCCTACTGTTATTACATAGACTAACACATTGACTCTGTACCGGTACCCCCTGTATATAGCCTCCCTACTGTTATTACATAGACTAACACATTGACTCTGTACCGGTACCCCCTGTATATAGCCTCCCTACTGTTATTTTACTGCTGCTCTTTAATTATTAGTCATTTTTCTATTTTTCTTATTTTTACTTAACACTTATTTTTCATAAAACTGCATTGTTGGTTAAGGGCTTGTAAGTAAGCATTTCACTCTAAGGTCTACACCTGTTGTATTCGGTGCATGTGACAAATACAATTTGATTTGATTTGATTATCTATATCTCCTGTTGAGCCACTTCAACAACCAATACCATACATTATCTAGATCTCCTGTTGAGCCACTTCAACAACCAATACCATACATTATCTAGATCTCCTGTTGAGCCTCTAACAACCAATACCATACATTATCTAGATCTTCTGTTGAGCCACTTCAACAACCAATACCATTCATTATCTATATCTCCTGTTGAGCCACTTCAACAACCAATACCATACATTATCTAGATCTCCTGTTGAGCCTTCAACAACCAATACCATACATTATCTAGATCTCCTGTTGAGCCACTTCAACAACCAATACCATACATTATCTAGATCTCCTGTTGAGCCACTTTAACAACCAATACCATTCATAATCTAGATCTCCTGTTGAGCCACTTCAACAACCAATACCATTCATTATCTAGATCTCCTGTTGAGCCACTTCAACAACCAATACCATTCATTATCTAGAACTCCTGTTGAGCCACTTCAACAACCGATACATCAACCAATACATCACTCAGTACATCAACCAATACATCACTAAATACATCACTCAACACATCAACTATTACATCAACTAATACATCACTCAACACATCAACCAATTGCCAGTATGCATTTATTTTTATTATGTCATACGTTTTACCCCCTACACCACTTTCAATAACTTTGTAGAACAGTCCTGTATGCCAAATACAATCAAATGCTTTTTGGAAGTTAATAACGCAGGTGTATATTTTGGCATTATTTTGGTGGAAATGTTTATCTATCAGGGTGTGTAGGGTGTAAATATGATCGGTTGTGCAATGTTTTGGTATTAATCCAATTAGGCTTTTACTCAAGTCATTGAAGCTTATTAAGGAAGTTTAGATCTCTTATATGTATAATACTACAGAAAACCTTCCCCAGGTTACTGTTCACGCAAAATGCCTCTGTAATTGTTAGGGTCATATTTGTCTCCGTTCTTAAAGATTGGGGTTATGAGTCCTTGATTCCAGATGTCAGGGAAATAACCTACACTCAGGATCAAATTAAACAGTTTTAATATAGCCTATTGAAATGTTGCACTTGTGAATTTGAGCATCTCATTTAGGAAGCCATCCAGTCTGCATGCTTTTTTTTAAATGTGAGGGTCTGGAGTCCAATGGATTTTGATTGTCCTTTATAGCTTTTTCTAATCCATTCAACTTCTCATGAATTTGGCATTGTTCTGTTATTTTGACGTTTGTCTCTCTCTCTCTCTCTCTCTCTCTCTCGCTCTCTCGCTCTCTCGCTCTCTCTCTCTCTCTCTCTTTCTCTCTCTCTCTCTCTCTCTCTCTCTCTCTCGCTCTCTCGCTCTCTCGCTCTTTCACTGCGTCTGATAAACAAATCAACACTAATGAGAATGCATGTGGTTAATCACATTCAGATGCTAGTATATCGTATGGGTCTATCTAATGAATCATTCACATGTGGTTGGTGATTCATGTACTGTAGGGTGATTACTGTGCTGTAGGGTTCTAATAATGGACGTTTTATTCTGAATTGTATATGTAGATTTTACTTGTGGATGTTTTGTGTTAAACTCTTGTTTTACTGAATAATTTAAACTAAAATAAATGATATGTGTTAAAGCCGATGCTATAGTATGTTCAATACTACTGGAGTAAAGGAGGGGATATTCAAATGACCTTTACCCTTACCCGAATGACCTTTACCCTTACCCGAATGACCTTTACCCTTACCCGAATGAACTTTACCCTTACCCGAATGACCTTTACCCTTACCCGAAGCCAGTTGATCGGTCATGGTTGATATCCATGACCAGACAATTGAAATGTCATCAAGTTATACTGCAGAATGAAAATGACCCTGTGAACTTCAGGGAGCGGTTGAATGATCGAACAATATAACTGTTCCTTTCACTTGAGTTCATTTCTTAAAAACGTGACCAATCTACCGATCTACACATTTTTCATATTTGTGTTTTTTCATTAGAAAGTTACAGACACACAAATATCGTACCCCCAAAGACATGCTAACCTCTCACCATTACAATAACAGGGGGGGGGGGGGTATTTGTGTATAAGTCTTTGGAAACATATTCTATTCTTATTTACAATAAAAGTGACTCCAAAATGACACAATATATTATTTACCATTCATTTCTATTGGGCACAAAATAATCTGAAACACAACCAAAACCAACAGGAAATGCATCCAACAAGTCTGTAGAGTCACATGATTGATGTAGTCATTGTGTTCTATGGATATGGGACAGAATACTAAACTTTTTACTACTTTAATACACTTAGAAGTGAATTTGTCCCAATACTTTTGGTCCCCTAAAATGGGGGGGACTACTGTATGTACATAAAGGTGCTGTAATTGCTAAACTGTTCACCAGATGTGGATGAAAATACCTTCAAATTAAAGCTGACAGTCTGCACTTTAACCTCATAGTCGTTGTATCATTTCAAATCCAAAGTGCCGGAGTACAGAGTCAAAACAACAACATAATGTGTCTGTCCCAACACTGTTGGGGAGCTCCCTGCGTAGCATTTTGGAATTAAACTCTTCATGCTCACTCACATAAGTAAGCATAACAGAGTGTGATGGAGATGACATCAATGGCTCCCTGTTGAGCGATATGGACCTGAGTGAACTTAGCGAAGTTCGTAAAGTTTGGAAGAACCAGGGCCGGGACGATACCAGTATCGCGATACTCGTTACCATCGTGGCAAGGAAACAAAACACAAAGCGGATTTAACTTCTTTAGGAAAACAGCCCTAATGTTGGAAACAAACATCATTATGTTGTCATCCCCAGTGTCACATGTATTTATTTTCCAAGCTGTAGCAGACAATATGTTACATACAGCAGGTTTTAAAGGACCAAAGAGTTTAGTCTGCTTTGTTTTGTTTTTTTGTTGCTATGAACAAAATACTGCAATACTGGTATCGTCACAGCCTTAGCAAGAAATCACACAATAATTGCAAACATCTCTGGTATGTGTACAGACTACTGAAAGGCCAGGCAACATGTTTGTGTTGAACTGATCTGGAGCAGAGTTCTGACGGGGAGATAAAGTAAAGTGGGCCATGGACTAGACTAATGACAGCCTGTGAGAACACTGTCTCCTCCTCCTCCTCCTCCTCCTCCCCTCCTACTCCTCCCCTCCTCCCCTCCTCCACCTCCTCCTCCTCCTCCTCCTCCTCCTCCTCCTCCTCCTCTCTAATAGATCACCACTCGGCCGGTGGAGTTAAACCATTCTACTGAATAAACCATGAGACAGATTTACCCCAATATGTCTTTCAGGCTGCGTGTCTCATATGGCACCCTATTCCCTATGTAGTGCACAACACTACACTACATTTCCATGGGGCTCTAGTAAAAAAGAGTGCACTATATAGGGAATAGGATGCCATTTCAGACACACCCTCTGTCTCTTAACATAGTTATTCTGGGCTTGTCATCTGAGTCCCTATAGCTCAGGTCTCTGTCTCCTCTACATCATCTGAGTCCCTATAGCTCAGGTCTCTGTCTCCTCTATTTCATCTGAGTCCCTATAGCTCAGGTCTCTGTCTCCTCTATGTCATCTGAGTCCCTATAGCTCAGGTCTCTGTCTCCTCTACATCATCTGAGTCCCTATAGCTCAGGTCCACAGGAGGCTGGTGGCATCTTAATTGGGGAGGACGGGCTCGTAATGACTGGAGTGGAATAAGTGGAATGGTATCAAATACATCAAACACAAGGTTTCCAGGTGTTTGATGCCATTCCATTACAGCTTACACATGGTCATTTATATTGGGCCTATCAACTGACCACCTACTTATCTCTCAAGTGTCTGTCTCCACTCACCTAAACTAGTGTGTCTGTGTGTGTCTGTGTGTGTCTGTGTGTGTGTGTCTCTCTCTGTGTGTGTGTGTAAAGTAGGACAGGATACAGAACCCAGAAGCCCTTTTAGAATCTCTCTCAGTTCCGGACCTTGATTCTATATTCTGTTTGGCCTCATCGTGCTCCAAACCATCTCCTCCCCAGAGAGCCAAGCTCAACATGGGATGTAAACAACAAACTTCAAACAACTCAGTCAGATGCCGGGACCAGCCGGGACCTGCCCTACACACACACTGGGCCACACACACACACACACACTGGGACAAACACACACACACACACACACACACACACACTTTCATTTACCCACACTCACAGACCACTGCACTTGAGTGTACGGTCTCTCTCTCTTGATCAGTTGTGTGCTTCCCTCTAGTGGCCCGATGTTGGAAGTACTTCCCACATATCAGGTTTGGTTGGTTTTCATGAAGGTCTACCAGTCCAATAAATACTGTAACCCTAACCATGAATGACACAGTTTCAAACCCAACATAAATACTGTAACTTTAACCACGAATGACACAATTTCAACCCCATCAGTAAACCAACCATCCCTCTCTCATAAGCTCCACCTACTTGTTCTGAGGCTCCTCTGGATTGGCAGGCTGTTGGCGATAGGCCCGCCCTTGGCTCCTCCCCCGCTGACAGTGCGGATGGTGAAGTTGTACAGTCGTCCCGGGAACATCCCATCCAGGATGCGGCTGGTTGGCTGAAGCGCTGTGATTGACAGGGAATCTCTGGGCGCCCATTGGAGGTCGAAGGTGTCGTAGTCACCAGAGGTGGGACCATCCCAGGTCAGTTCTACAGAGCTGTTACCACTGACGTCTCTGAAAGACACCATGGAGGGAGGCTCTGGGGCTGAGGGGGAAAACACAGACCGATACAGGCTTTACTACAAGCAACACAAAACACAGACCGATACAGGCTTTACTACAAGCAACACAAAACACAGACCGATACAGGCTTTACTACAAGCAACACAAAACACAGACCGATGCAGGCTTTACTACAAGCAACACAAAACACAGACCGATAAAGGCTTTACTACAAGCAACACAAAACACAGACCGATACAGGCTTTACTACAAGCAACACAAAACACAGACCGATACAGGCTTTACTACAAGCAACACAAAACACAGACCGATACAGGCTTTACTACAAGCAACACAAAACACAGACCGATACAGGCTTTACTACAAGCAACACAAAACACAGACCGATACAGGCTTTACTACAAGCAACACAAAACACAGATCGATACAGGCTTTAATACAAGCAACACAAAACACAGACAGATACAGGCTTTACTACAAGCAACACAAAACACAGACCGATACAGGCTTTACTACAAGCAACACAAAACACAGACCGATACAGGCTTTACTACAAGCAACACAAAACACAGACCGATACAGGCTTTACTACAAGCAACACAAAACACAGACCGATACAGGCTTTACTACAAGCAACACAAAACACAGACCGATACAGGCTTTACTACAAGCAACACAAAACACAGACCGATACAGGCTTTACTACAAGCAACACAAAACACAGACCGATACAGGCTTTACTACAAGCAACACAAAACACAGACCGATACAGGCTTTACTACAAGCAACACAAAACACAGACCGATACAGGCTTTACTACAAGCAACACAAAACACAGACCGATACAGGCTTTACTACAAGCAACACAAACTGTGATTGATAAAGGGAGAGGAGAACACACAAAATAGTTGAACTTACAGTATTTTGAATCAGTCGAACTTATTTTGTGTGTAAATTGTTTCTATCATGTGAACTCTGGATGCATTGACCCATGGTGTAGAGTATTTTCTAACCAAGGTTGTACAAGTCAGAACAGTTGTTCAATTGGAATGGACACATGATATAACAGCTATCATCCCTGGCATCAGACATTGATATGAGTTTCAGATAGAGAGAGAGAGGGGTAGTGCACTGACCAGTCCTTCCCTTCGCACACGCAGCATTAGTCAGCTCTCCGCTGTGCGTGACCACCTCAGCCCGGTACAGACGGCCAGGTACCAGTCCCTGGAACAGGTGTTCTCTCTGCTCCATGCCCAGCTCCTGGGCTGCCAGAGTGGTGGTTGAGCCCTCCAGGCCACTGTAGAGGACCACTTGGTACCTGCTCCACTCCCCTGCACCAGGCAGCCAGCTGACGGAGAGACGGTCAGTACGCTCACCACCCTGGACGTGGAGGGAGCGCACTGGGGCTGGGACTGGGGGGGGGATGGTTAAGGGGATGGTGGAGAAGAGAGAGAACAGGGGTTTGGGGGGGGGGGGTTAAGGGGATGGGGGAGAAGAGAGAGAACAGGGTTTGGGGGGATGGTTAAGGGGATGGGGGAGAAGAGAGAGAACGGGGGTTTGGGGGGATGGTTAAGGGGACGGGGGAGAAGAGAGAGAACAGGGGGTTGGGGGGATGGTTAAAGGGATGTGGAGAGAGAGAGAACAGGGGTTTGGGGGGGGGGGTTTAAGAAGGGGATGGGGGAGAAGAGAGCGAACAGGGGTTTGGGGGGATGGGTTAGGGGATGGGGGAGAAGAGAGAGCACAGTGTTTTGGGGGATGGTTAGGGGCGGGGGATAAGAGAGAGAACAGGGGTTTTGGAGGGGATGGTTAGGGGAGGGGGAGACATGAAGAGAACAGGGTTTGGGGGGGGGGGGGGTTAAGGGATGGGGGACGAAGAAGGAGAACCCAGGGGTTAGGGGGGGGGATGGTTAAGGGGACGGGGCAGAAGAGAGAGAACAGGACGATAGAGTTAGTTCATGTTCTATTTTATTATCAAGAGGAAAGGCAGAGATTATGAACAGGACAATGTATCTTGCATTTAGATATCCATCTGGAATTGGATAATGGACATCCAACATCTCATCTAATGAGAGACGTTCTTCATAATGTTTTAGTGACTCAAATGTCCGTCAGAGCAACGAAGTTCTAATCTCTCATGGATAGACTACGTGACATAAATGGCATCTGACCAAATTACGTGAGTTTTTAGTTCTGGGTTACCGAGATGCAGGAAGTTCAAATGATAGGAAGTGAGCTCAGATGTTAGACAAGGTGTGGTGTAAAAATCACAGTCATTCACATAGAAAGGCCATTGGGAGAAAAGTCATTTTGACATTCACATTGTTGACAAAACAAAAAGATAACCAAGCAGGGAACTTAATGACATTAAATCACTGATTTCCCCAGACTGTCTCACACCTCAAAGACCATAAGCTGCTTGTATAACATCCATCAACACATTACATTGATAAATGAATCACTTCTGCTGAGCCGTATCTTAACATTCACATCAGAGTTTTAACAGTCTCCATCAGGCCCAATTAAGTGCTACCACACATCATCTCTGCAATAAGAAATAAACAAATACAACCAATTGACTAGTGGCGAGTTTCCACCGAGGATTTACCCCGGTGTTTTACCCAAAAGACTCAGACTTTTCTGTTTCTATCTACACGGACCAGCAGTGCCCGACACCCAGTGTCTCACTGGGCCATGGCTCCGGTTGACCTGCTCTCTCTTGGGGCCAAAGCCAGGCCACTGGCACTTTTCAGCTGGTACATAACAATGGCTGACTGTGGACTTTAACACCTTCTTCTCACAAAGCAAAACTGTCTTGATGATACAAGAGGTTGTTGATTCTGCTCACCCACCCAAGTCTTTAGTGTCACAATAACGCCAGAGACACATTAACATAAAACACAGGCTCAGTGGAAATGCACCAGTGGCGTTACGGTCATTTGCGTTTAAGATTGTGATAATGACAGCGGCGTTGTGAAAGAGAGATTGTCATCGACGGACAGAAGCACCACTTCAGATGCAGTGGGTGTCACCCTATCTGTCACTTCTGTTTTTTTTAGAATGACTTTATAAGTTCATCAGAAGTTGTAGCAGACTTTTTGGAAAATTACAGCCTCGGCAATAAGAAATGTACGGCAATTAGCTTTCAACATTCAGTTGGATGAATGTGGTGTTTTTCTGAGGTCGACGTGGAGTCATGAAGAAAATGTGATCCCTAAAATTCCTACGTTCAGAATGAATTTCAGCACCGTACACATACACTATATGATGCATGCCTACGAAATGACTATGTCACATGTCAATCAAAAGAAACAGGTATTGTTTGACACATTATAGATTGAATTGATAATAAAGTCACTAAATATCTATTTATATACAATGCTATTTTACAGTGAACAGATTGACAACAGACTTTCAGCATGCTTATAGGGAAGGACATTCAATAAGCACAGCACTTACACAAATGACTGATGAGTAGCTGAGAGAAATTGATGATAACAAGATTGTGGGGGCTGTTTTCAGTGCTGCTTTTGACATTATCGATCATAGTCTGCTGCTGTAAAAACATAAGTGTTATGGCTTTACATCCCCTGCTATCAGTGGTGTAATGTACTTAAGTAAGAATACTTGAAAGTACTACTTAAGTAGTTTTCTGGGGTATCTGTACTTTACTATTGATATTTTACTTCACTACATTCCTATAGAAAATAATGTACTTTTTACTCCATACATTTTCCCTGACACCCAAAAGTACTCGTTACATTTTGAATGCTTAGCAGGACAGGGATATTGCCTAATTCAAACACTTATAAAGAGAACATCCCTGGTCATCCCTACTGCCCCTGATCTGGCAGACTCACTAAACACATGCTTCGTTTGTAAAGACGTCTGAGTGTTGGAGTATGCCCCTGGTTATCCGTAAATAAAAAATAAAATAAAAAGATTATGCCGTCTGGTTTGAAATTAAGGAATTTGAAATGATTTATACTTTTAATTTTACTTTTGATACTTAAGTATATTTAAAACCAAATACTTTTAGACTTTTTGTCACGATCGTCTACCAAAGATGAGGACCAAGGCGCAGCGTTGCAGGCAAACATACTCTTTTATTGAGCGAAACGCGATCAAAACAACAAAGACGGTAACGTGACAGTACACGGTCAAACACAACCAACTTGAAACAAGAACCCACAAAAAACAAAGGAAAAACCGACAGTTTAAATATGGCTCCCAATCAGAGACAACCAGCAAACAGCTGACACTCGTTGCCTCTGATTGGGAGTCACTCAGGCCAACATAGAAATAGGGAACATAGATCTACACACCCTGGCTCAACCTAACAGTGTCCCCAGAGCCAGGGCGTGACAGTACCCCCCCCTAAAGGCGCGGACTCCGACCGCGCCAACTAAATACCAAAGGGGAGGGACCGGGTGGGCACTCCGCCTTGGCGGCGGATCCGGCTCTGGGCCCGATCCCCACTCCCTCTCCAACCCCCCAAAGTACCCCTGGTCCGGTCTGGCCCCGCTGGCCGGAGCCGGACTGACGACACGCACCCCTGGCCTGGTGCGTGGAACAGGAACGGACCGGACCGGGCTGACGATGCGCACCCCTGGCTTGGTGCGTGGAGTAGCAACTGGCCGGACCGGGCTGACGATACACACCCCTGGCTTGGTGCGTGGAGCAGGAATGGACCGGACCGGGCTGACGATGCGCACCCCTGGCTTGGTGCGTGGAGTAGCAACTGGCCGGACCGGGCTGACGATACGCACCCCTGGCTTGGTGCGTGGAGCAGGAATGGACCGGACCGGGCTGACGATGCGCACCCCTGGCTTGGTGCGTGGAGGAGGAACGGGCCGAGCCGGGCTGACGAAACGCACCATAGACTTGGTGCGGGGAGCAGGAATGGGCCGGACTGGGCTGGCGACGCGCACCACAGACTTGGTGCGGGGAGCAGGAATGGGCCGGACTGGGCTGGCGACGCGCACCACAGACTTGGTGCGGAGAGCAGGAACGGGCCGGACAGGGCTGACGAAACGCACCACAGACTTGGTGCGGGGAGCAGGAACAGGCCGGACCGGGCTGGCGACGCGCACCATAGGTTTGGTGCGGGGAGCAGGAACAGGCCGGGCTGGGCTGGCGATGCGCACCATCGGCTTGGTGCGGGGAGCAGGAACAGGCCGGACCGGGCTGGCGACGCGCACCATAGGTTTGGTGCGGGGAGCAGGAACAGGCCGGGCCGGGCTGGCGACGCGCACCATAGGCTTGGTGCGGGGAGCAGGAACAGGCCGGGCCAGGCTGGCGACGCGCAACATAGGCTCGGTGCGGGGAGCAGGAACAGGCCGGGTCGGGCTGACGACACGCACCACAGGTTCGATGCGAGGAACAGGAACAGGCCGGACCGTACTGGGGACACACACCACTGGCCCTACGCAGGGATCAGGAACGGGCCGGACCGGACTGGTAACACACCCCAGTACCTCTCGCCGTGCCTCCACACTTTCCCTCTCCTCTGTGACCAGTGGCCCCCTTAACCTGGCGGCCTCCTCAGCACACCCGCTGGACCGCTCCATCGCGGCCTCCTGCTGCCCCGTCGTCCACGTCGTGAGCCCCCCCCTAAAAATTTTCTGGGGTTCTCTCCTCCCCGTGGACCAGGCCTCCCTAGTTCTCGCCAGACTCTCACCCCACTGCTTCAAAGTCCAACCTCTCTGCTCTTCACTTGGCTTGGCCCAGTCGAGACTCTTAATCCATTGCTCCATAGACCAGCCTCTCTTCTCTTCACTTAGCTGGGCCCAGTCGAGACTCCTACTCCACTGATCCCAGGTCCTTCCTCTCTCCTCTTCACGCTGCTTGGTCCAGTTTTGGTGGGTTCTTCTGTCACGATCGTCTACCAAAGGTGAGGACCAAGGCGCAGCGTTGCAGGCAAACATACTCTTTTATTGAGCGAAACGCGATCAAAACAACAAAGACGGTAACGTGACAGTACACGGTCAAACACAACCAACTTGAAACAAGAACCCACAAAAAACAAAGGAAAAACAGACAGTTTAAATATGGCTCCCAATCAGAGACAACCAGCAACAGCTGACACTCGTTGCCTCTGATTGGGAGTCACTCAGGCCAACATAGAAATAGGGAACATAGATCTACACACCCTGGCTCAACCTAACAGTGTCCCCAGAGCCAGGGCGTGACACTTTTACTCAAGTGGTATTTTACTGGGTGACTTTCACTTTTACTGGAGTCATTTTCTATTAAGGTATCTTTACTTTTACTCAAGTATGACAATTGGGTACTTTTTCCACCACTGCCTGCTATATTGTGGATAAAGAGTTACCTGTCTAACAGAACACAGAGGGTGTTCTTTAAAGGAAGCCTCTCCAACCTAATCCAGGTAGAATCAGGAATTACCCAGGGCCCCTTACTTTTTTAAAATCTTTACTAACGACATGCCACTGGCTTTGAGTAAAGGATTTTGTGTTGTAGATGTGTGGTAGTAGAGTAGGGGCCTGAGGACACACACCTAATGTGTTGTGAAATCTGTTATGAATGTATTGTAATGTTTAAAAAATGGTAGAACTGCCTTAATTTAGCTGGACCCCAGGAAGAGTAGCTGCTGCCTTGGCAGGAACTAATGGGGATCCGTAACAAATACAAATACAAATACAAATACACAGTATTCATACACTACTTCTGTATTCCAGTCTGTAGTCAGCGGACCTGGGTGAAATACACGTCAAATCAAATTGAATTTGAGGTGAGCTTGATTTAGCTTGGAGTTTGGGACGGTTTTTGGACTACAAAGCAAGCGCACCTCAAATATTTGAGCCAGGTGTGTTAGTCAGAGGATTTCAGTGTGTGTCCATCTCACCTGTCCGTGCCAGTATAGATGAATCACTGCTCAGGCCTCTACTCATGCTCACCACCTCCATCTTGTACAGCGTCCCTGGGACCAGACCAGAGAAGGAGCACGCCTGGGTCCCGGCCTCCACGGTCTGACGGCCACGCAACGTCTTGTCAACGTTATACAGGAACAGGTCGTAACCGTCCACGTAGCCCTCGGAAGGGCGCCAGACGAAACTCAGACCACTGGTGTTGGTGGTCATCACGGTCAGACCGTTGACTGCAGCTGGACCTGAAGGAGGGAAAGAGGGAGAGAGAGAGAGAGAGAGAGAGAGAGAGGGAGGGAGAGAGAGGCAAGAGAGAGGAGGTAGAGATAGAGATCTAGATAAATAGATATGGCTATTGCTAAGTCCTTCATTTAGTTTTTTCTATCTTTCTTCTCTTTCTTTCTCCGTCTTTTCCTTTCTCCTCTGTCTTCTTCTCTGTTCTCTCTCTATCTTCTTTCTCTCTTTGTTCGTTTCTTCTTTCGCTCTCTGTCTTTTCTCTTTCTTCCTCTCTCCTCTCTCTCCTTTTCTTCTTTCTTTCCTTCCCTCTCTCTCTCTCTCTCTTCTTTCTCTCTCTCTTTCCTTTCTGTCTCTCTTCTCTTCTTTTTGCTCTCTCTCTCCTCTCTCTCTCTCCTCTCTCTCTCCGCTCTATCTCTCTCGTCCTCTCCCTCCCTCTCTCTCGCTCTCTCTCACCTCTCTCTCCTCCTCGCTCTCTCTCTCTCGCTCTCTCTCTCTCTCTCCTCTCTTCGCTCTCTGGTCCCTCTCTCTCACTCTCTCTCTCGCCGTCTCTCTTCTCCTCTCTCTCTCTCTCTCTCTCTCTCTCTCTCTCTTCCTCTCTCTCTCTCTCTCGCTCTCTCTCTCTCTCTCTCTCTCTCTCTCTCTCTCCTCTCTCTCTCTCTCTCTCTCTCTCTCTCTCTCTTTCCTCTCTCTCTCCTCTCTCCTTACTAGAGGGTAGAGTGTTACACAGTTCAATATGGAAGTTTATAAAGTTATTTCCATCGTACTTTAGGAAACGTTTTCCTCTTTTATTTCTATTTCAGTTATTACCTGTAAGTTATTACCTCTAACTACAATGTGACCTAGACATTAATTTGTTCTAATTAGTTGGATTAGTACAGTTTTATTAAGCACAAGCTGATATGAGGTTGTCTCACCTAGAATACACTTAATGTAAATCACTCTGAATAAGAGCGTCTGCTAAATGACAAAAATGTAAAATATTTGGGATCATATCTAATAACGAATGTCTCTGATACAGTAAAGGTGGTGCTTCTTACGTGTTTGTCCCTCAGCCACGGCCTCCTTGCCGTAGACCCCTCCGCTGATGGTTTCGACTCGAACTCGGTACCACTTCCCTGGGGTGAGCTGGTCAAAGAGGTGGCTGGTGGAGCCCTGGGGCAAGGATGTATTAGAGACTAAGACCCCTCCATCATCCAGGAGCTGGATCTTGTAACCCTCATACACTCCTCCTGGGTTCTCCCAGGTCACTGTTAGACTGTGGGTGGTGTGGTCACTGTCTGCCTGGAGTGCTGTCACTGTGGAGGGGACTGAACAGACACAGGGAGACGTTAGACATCACCCACGGCTGGAGGGGACTGGACAGATTCAGGGAGACGTTAGACATCACCCACGGCTGGAGGGGACTGGACAGATTCAGGGAGACGTTAGACATCACCCACGGCTGGAGGGGACTGGACAGATTCAGGGAGACGTTAGACATCACCCACGGCTGGAAGGGACTGGACAGATTCAGGGAGACGTTAGACATCACCCATGGCTGGGAGCGGGACTGGACAGATTCAGGGAGACGTTAGACATCACCCACGGCTGGAGGGGACTGAACAGACACAGGGAGACGTTAGACATCACCCACGGCTGGAGGGGACTGGACAGATTCAGGGAGACGTTAGACATCACCCACGGCTGGAGGGGACTGGACAGATTCAGGGAGACGTTAGACATCACCCACGGCTGGAGGGGACTGGACAGATTCAGGGAGACGTTAGACATCACCCACGGCTGGAGGGGACTGGACAGATTCAGGGAGACGTTAGACATCACCCATGGCTGGGAGCGGGACTGGACAGATTCAGGGAGACGTTAGACATCACCCATGGCTGGGAGCGGGACTGGACAGATTCAGGGAGACGTTAGACATCACCCACGGCTGGAGGGGACTGGACAGATTCAGGGAGACGTTCGACATCACCCACGGCTGGAGGGGACTGGACAGATTCAGGGAGACGTTAGACATCACCCACGGCTGGAAGGGACTGGACAGATTCAGGGAGACGTTAGACATCACCCACGGCTGGAGGGGACTGGACAGATTCAGGGAGACGTTAGACATCACCCATGGCTGGAGGGGACTGGACAGATTCAGGGAGACGTTAGACATCACCCACGGCTGGAGGGGACTGGACAGATTCAGGGATCTGTTAGACATCACCCACGGCTGGCTGGGTTATACTGTACTCTTGAACTCTGAACTTGTTCTGAAGAGATTCAGTTTCCAATGATTTTAGAATTTGTCTTTTCCATGAAGATTGTGATGGCAAATGACAATGGCAATTGTTGTTCCGCTACGCTCCAAGACAAAGCCCTGTGTACCTTAATGGCTCTAGTCTAAGCTATTTATTATCATACAGGTATATCCTGAGCATTCCCTCTCACCTATTCGTCCAGTAGCAGTGCTGTTATTTACCAGTGTTCCATTCAGGGACTGAGCTGTCCCCACCCGCCTCTCTCCCTCCCTCCCCCCTCCTTCTCACCTGTTCGTCCGGTAGTCGTTGAATTGTTGACCAGTGTTCCACTCAGGGACTGAACCTCGACCCCATACAGCTGTCCTGGTACCAGACCCTGAAAGTCCAGCTCAGTGACGTGTTTGGGGACAGGTCTGGTCTCCAGAAGGTGTCCTCCCTGGGATAGGGACACGGTGTACATGTCCACGTCCCCATCACCAGGGGTCCAGGACACCCTCAGGCTGGCAGCCTGGTCCCCTGGCCGGGCATGGAGGTTCCTCACCTGGCTGGGGACTGGGGGGGGAGGGGGGGGGGGGGGTTGAGAGAGAAGGTAGAGAGACAGTAGGGAAGGGAGGGGGGATGGAGGAGAGTGGAGATGGGTCAGAATGTGGCACTCACAATGTGGATCACACTAACAAAAAATGGGCACTTAGAGCAAAATAAGTTAAAGGAAAGATTCGCCGAAAAACAATGTTATGTTTTTTTTTTAAAATCTTTAGATGATGTTCTAGAAGGAGAAGTGATGACAATAGGTTATTCTGTTGTTTTACCTGTAATATCTGTGACAGAAATGCTATGAAATGCAACGTGAGGTTATTTAGAAAATCAACCCTGGCTGTTGCCCACTCTGTGTCCCGACTGACCTGTCCTGCCCTCGATGAACTGCGGTCTCTGGTAAGGTCCGCTGAAGGTGGACACCACGATCTTGTACAGGCGTCCCGGGGTGAGCGAGGTCAGGCGGTGGTCGCGGGCCTCGTTGCCCAGGGTTACTGGCGGGTAAACCCGCGTGTCGTTGAAGAGGACCTGGACCTCGTAGTGGTCAACGTCCCCCAGTGCTGGAGACCAGGTGACCACCAGATCACCTGTACCACTGTCACCCAGGCCCAGGCTCCGGACCGCAGAGGGGACTATGGAGACATTCAAATATAACTTTATTTAAAGATTTTAACTAGTCACACAACACCAAAGGGCTCAATGGTTTCATTGGCTGAAGGGAATTTGACCCATGATGCCCACTAGTTTAAGGTTAGCTTTGCGCTGCAAAATGTTACTGATTGTGATCGTAGGATACAATTCCCATGTGCGAAATTCTAGATTTCACACATACAAATTCTTCCAAATAAGTTGTACGTTGGTTTCCATGGACTTATCCACACAGAATACTCAGTAGTACAGCATGTCACTTAAACCTCCTAACAACACCGTCGTAGCAATAGCCACATCATCACAGAACGTGTAATAAACTCACACGTCCTCCCGTCAGTAGACACACTGGACTGGTACTCTCCGCTCCAGGTGCTGACAGTGACCGTATAGAGCCTCCCAGGGACCAGGGAGCTGAACACACAGTCGTTCTGCGACCGCGCCACGGTCTGGTTCTGGAGGACCGTGTTGTTGTACTTGATGACCACCTCGTAACGGTCCAAGTCTCCGGCCGCATGACGCCAGTAGACTTTCAGGAAGTCGTCCCTGGCAGAGTGGATGGCATTGGGGTTCTGGACACTGGAGGGTTCTGGGTAAGGGGTGAGGGGTGGAGGAGATGTCATGAGGTCAAGAGGTCAAATAGGATGTGGGTGTTTTTCATTAAACACAACGCTGTTGTTATTTTAAGAGATACACATTTTCTCCAAAATATTTCTCTCCAAATGTGCCCTACCAATTGAACAGTTTGTGTCCTAGATCACAAGACAACAATCTGCAATTAGGTTATTTGATCAATATTAACACATTCATCCATGTAGCTATATTAGCAGAGGGACACATAGTGATCAGGATGAGGGGCCCAAGAGATGGTGTGTGTGTGAATGCGTGTGTGTGTGTGTGTGTGTGTGTGTGTGTGTGTGTGTGTGTGTGTCTGTGTGTCTGTGTGTGTGTGTGTGTGTGAATGCGTGTGTGTGTGTGCGTGTGTGTGTGTCGGTGTGTGTGACCTACGTGTACGAGCCGTCACCACCGTGTTGTTCTCGAAGCTGCCGCTGCGGGTTGCTATGGAGATGGTGTACAGCCTCCCTGACTTGAGGGAGTTGAACACACACTCTGGGCTGGCCTTGGACACCGCCAGGGTGTGTACAGTCCTTTCGCGGTCCTTCAGCAGGACCAGGTAACTGTCCACATCTCCGACCGCCGGCTGCCACGACACCCCCAGGAAGTCCGGACGGCCGTTGTTACTGACCGTTACCTCTCCGACCCCAGCTGGCACTGTGAAGGGACAGAATGGGCTGAAGGGTAGTGAGGTCGACTGGGTTAAAAATCCTGCGACCCCGAAACTGTGTTGCCTGCTGAGCTAAAGAGTACGGCTTCATGTTATTTGGCTTACATTCATTTTGTACATCCGGACATTGCTCCTACAACACACCATTTATTTTTGGAATTTTTAACATTTTGAAAGGTTAACGACTGACTTGATGAAATATATAATAGTGAGAAGAGAAAGGTTTAGTTCAAGTGGCCTTCGTTTCAATCCGGTCAGCTGAAAGTTAGCCGAAAGTTGTCTGAATGTTATCTGAAAGTGGTGTTTGTTTTCATCAACCCTTGCCCCCCCCGGAGTTAATTAAAAGGAGGAAGTGGTGGGGCCCAAAATAACCAGAACTTTCCTGGGGAAGAGAATTGTGGTCAGACAGGAAGTCTTTGAACGGTACCTTGGAGAGTTTTTTGTAGTTGAAAACAAAAGCTTCCTGAACATTCCAGACATTCTCTTTTGTGTTGGAAAACAATATTACGTTTGTCTCTCGGAGATCGTATCTTATAATTAATGTTGGTGACAATCACCATAACAATGACTGATCTACTACGATTGTCAGAGCATCCACTCTTATACAACACATCTCTAAGCATAGAATAAAGAATGCCTGGCCTTCACTATATGGTCCCGTGGTCCCGTGGTCCTCTGTAGCTCAGCTGGTAGAGCACGGCGCTTGTAACGCCAAGGTAGTGGGTTCGATCCCCGGGACCACCCATACACAAAAAATGTATGCACGCATGACTGTAAGTCGCTTTGGATAAAAGCGTCTGCTAAATGGCATATTATTATTATATTACATACTGTACATACACACACAGCAGTAATGGACAAGACTACCAGGAAGAACATACAGGACAACGCCCAAAACAAACGCCTGGCTCACGTGTCGGTCAGTTTATGTTAATGTGGATGATACATTTGAGTAAATGCATAAATATGAACTGTTCCTAATATTTAACTTACCAGTGCGTCCCTCAGCCACGGCCTGTTTCGACACCATCCCACCACTTACAGTACTGACCACCAGCCTGTAGGAGGCACCAGGCCTGAGGTCTCTGAGCTGGAGAGAGGTGGTGTTGGCTGGGACGGTGTGGTTCTGCACTGCCTGGTTGTTGTGGAGGAGCTCCAGGCTGCAGTAGTCCAGGTCTCCAGGGGGGAGTTCCCAGCTTGCCTGTAAGCTGTCCACGTGGCCCCGGCTGCTCAGGTGGACACGGCTCACCTCCATGGGGACTGCAGACAGACAGGCTCAGTTACTGTCAGTCTCCATTTTGTAAATAGAGCTCATTTTATCTCAGCAGGCTCATTATTGCCCTTTGTGAGTTAGGCTTTACCTGAAAACTGAAACAAAGTAAAAACATATTTGTACGTGCTGATTGGATAAATAGAGATGACCTCAACTACAAAGGGACAGTATCATTGAGTCCTTCTGTTTGGATAAACATCTTAGCTACAAAGGGACAGTATCATTGAGTCCTTCTGTTTGGATAAACATCTTAGCTACAAAGGGACAGTATCATTGAGTCCCTCTGTTTGGATAAATAAAAGTCTTACCATAGAGATGACCTCAGCTACACAGGGACAGTATCATTGAGTTCCTCTGTTTCAGTGCGTTGTGTATAAATATCCATACAGGTGCTATAGCAACCCTCTCACCTGTCCTCCCTAGCACCGAGACAGAGCTGTTGAGCTCCCCGCTCTTGGTTGTCACGGTGATGGTGAACAGGCGTCCGGGCGTGAGCACGTTGAAGGTGCACTCCCTCATGTCGCGGGTCAGGTCTCTCGTGGCAACCGTGGCGTTGGCATGGCGAAGCTCCACGGCGTAGCCGTCCCTGGCTGAGTTGGGGGCGTGACTCCACAGGGCGCTGAGGGAGGTCTCGTCAGCATGGCGGATATGGAGCTCTGAGACGGGCTTAGGAGCTGGGAGAGATAGAGAGAGGAGAGCGAGAGAGAGAGAGAGAGAGAGAGAGAGAGAGAGCGAGAGAGAGAGAGACAGAGAGAGAGAGAGAGAGAGAGAGAGAGAGAGAGAGAGAGAGAGAGAGAGAGAGAGAGAGAGAGAGAGAGAGAGAGAGAGAGAGAGAGAGAGAGAGAGAGGAAGGGAAGGGAAGGGAAGGGAAGAAGAGAAGGTGAGAAAGAAGGTTTGAAGAAATAGAGTTCTTTTTTCATTCTTACTGACGACCGTATCTTTCTCCTGCTCCATTCTGTTGTTGTGTAGCTCACCTAGTCCTCTGTGGCAGTACTCCACGGTGCCGTGCTCCCCGGCACTCTCCACTCTGACCCCAGCCCTGTAGGTCCTCCCAGGGACCAGTCCCAGGCCAGAGAAGGTGTACTCCACCACCCCCTTCTCCACGGTCCTGTTATCCAGAGTCTGGGTCCCATTCAACAGCAGCACCGTGTACTTCTCCCAGTCTCCACCAGGGGGAGCCCACGTCACCTTCAGAGAGTTGGAGTCATCCAGCGCCACCATAGAGAGCTGGGACACTTTATCTGGGACTGGGAAGGAGAGATGAAGAAATATTGATTAGACAGACCAGTTAAAGGCCCTGTCTGGAGTATTTCATTTTGTTCATTTATAAAGGCCTGATAAGGTAAGGCAATCTACTGCTCTATAGCAACTATCAAAAGGTAAGAAGTAATACCCTTAAGGCGTCAGCGTACTTCAGTTCGGCGTGCGCCTAACCGAATGAGTGTGCTCCATACTCCCTTAAAAGACCTTAGTACTGTTTGTCCATTTTGAGACACCGTAGATAGCCTGAATTAATCTAAGGTAACTCAAGGAATCTGTCATTCATTTTGACATTTACATCTCAATGACAAAAAATGGCATGAAAACTAGTCTTCTCTCGTTGAATAATAACAAAGACTTTATTGAAGAATCCCTACAGTTGACCAATCACCAATGAAGGGGCGTAGACTTCGGCTATCGACTTCGGCTTTCCTCCAGAAAAATTGTTGTGTTGCCCGAACAGCCGAAAATACCCTCACCAAAGCCGAAAAAAAACCTCACGAACAAAAAAACGTCACAAAATGTCATCATAACATATGCACAAACTCTTCCGAACTGTTTCGGCTGGGAAGCACGCGGACGACTTTACACAACTACATAATGGACAAATTCTTATCCACTTGATTAATCCATGAAATGTAATCACATAGTTAGCTCTTGCTGAACTCTTAACAGAGTGTTTAAATTAAACAGTCACATTTGAGGGGAATTACCATCCCACCCCCCTTATCCCCTTGGCTTTAATAGCAGAGGCCCTCTTCAACAGGAAGTGTGCTCCTCTCAACAAACTAAAGGCTTCAGTGCTTTTCTGAGAACACTAATTGTTAGCCTACTAGACTAGGGACAAGACGTTTTCCTGACCACGTCACAGAATTTGTCCTGGTTTATAAGATATTTTCTATACACCTGTGTTAGCCGAGGCAGTTGATTGGCTGGAGAGCTCTCCACTCTTGGTGGTGACAGACACCTGATAGGTTCGTCCGGGTGTCAGCTGGTGGAAGAGGGCCTTTGTGGTGTCAGATGACACGGTCTCCTCCAGAGGGGTGGTTCCAGACGAGGACAGGGTCACAACTATAGAGTCCACATCACCCTGGGGTTGACTCCATGATGCCCTCAAACTGTCCTGGATGTTATTGTTCTCTAGCTTCAGGTTGGAGACGGCAGAGGGCACTGGAGAAGAGAGTAGGGAGATAGAGAGAGGGGGGATGAGTAGGGTGGGAGGGGAGGCGAGAGAGCGGAGGAGGAGGGTAGTATTAGGAGGGTTTCTCGGAGAGGGGAGAGGGATATTCTCTCTCTCTCTTTTCTCGTTTCTGCATTCGCTCTCCTCTCTTTCTTTCTCTCTCCTTTTTGGTTTTTCTCTCTCTTTCCTTTTCGGTCAGTTCTCTCTCTCCATATTCTCTCCTCCTTTTTTTTTCTCCGTCGCTCCTTTTTCGGTTCGCGCCCTCGCTCTCTCGCTTCTCTCGCTCTCTCTCGCTCCTCGCGCTCCTGCTCTCGCAGCTCTCTCTCTCTCTCTCTCTCTTTTTGCTCTCCTTTTGCTTTGGTTTTTGTTGTTTTTTGGGTTTTTTTTCTTGTGCTCGCTCTGCGGTGCTAGCCTTCGCTTGTCGCGTGCGCTACGGTCGGGCGAGAGGGGAGGAGGGACCTAGAGGTATTGAGAGAGAGGAGAGAGAGAGAGAGACAAGAGCAACGCGAGCGAGATGAGGGGGGATGTGGGAGAGTGATTCGTGTCGCTATGTTTTCCTTTCTCTGTGCTCGCGTCTTTTCTCTTTCTTTTCCTCTTCGCCGCGATTGCTTTCTCGTCTCTGGTTATCTTTCTCCTATCTCTCTCTCCTCATTTGCTCATCCTTGTCTCTCTCCTTTGTTTCTCGTTCTTTCCTGTTCTTCTTTCTCTCTCGTCCTTTCTCTCGCTCCCTCCTTTAGTCTTTTCTCTTTCTCTCTCTTGTTCTTTCCCACTCTCTGCTCTCTTCTCTCGTGCGCGGCGCTCTCTCATCGCCCCCTCCTCTCTCGCGCGCGCTCTCTAGCTCTCCGCTCCTCTCTCTTGCCTCTCGTAGCTCCCCTCTCTCTGCGTAGTCGGTTTCTCTCTGTCTGTTGCTTTTGCTTCGCTTTTCGTGCTACGGGCGAGCTATGTCTCTCTCTATCTTTCTGTCCGCCCTCTCGCGCGCTCCTCCGCGCGCGCGCGCGCCTGTCTCGCGCGCGCGCGCGCGCTCGCGCTCCTCTTCTCTCGCTCTCTCGGCACGTTCGCCTTGTTTGTTGTTTGTGGTCTGTTTTGTTTCTTTTGCTTGGCTCGTCTGCTTTTTTCGTTCGTCATGTTCCCTCTCTGCTCTCTGTTTTCTCTTTCTTGGCCTCGGGCCTCGCTCGTGCTCGCGCTGGCGCCGGTCTCCGTCTTCTCTCGCGCTGGCGCCGCGCGCTCGCGTTTCTGGCTTGCTCTCCGCGCTCGGTGTCGGGCCTGAAGCGCGTGTTGCTGTAGAGCCCGCGCTCTGCTCTCTCCCCCCGCGCTGCCTTTTTATTGTGCTTTTTCTTCTTTTCTCTGGGTGAGAGGGATTTCTTTCTCCTTTTTCTTCCTCGCTTTTTTTTTCTTTCCTCTGTTTCCCTCTCTTTCTTTTTCCTTTTTCTCCCGGCTCTCTTGCGCTCTCGCTCTCTTTTTCGGTTCTCCTTGCTCTCTCGCTCTCGTTTCTCTCTGTTTTTTTCTTCTCTTTTTCGACCTCTTTCGCCTCTCTCTCTCTCTCTTCTGCTCTCTCTCTCTCTCTCTCTCTCTTCTCTCTCGATCTCGCAGAGATAACAAACCCCATCCTTGCGTACAATGCAAGCCCTCTTCCACAAACCCCTTCGCACTCCCTCCTGCCCCCCTCGTCGTACTCTAAAATAACTTCATAAAAAAATCCCCATCAAAATCCGTCTGTTGAAGCTTTTTTTTTTGTTTCATGGGCTGCGTCTCAATCCACCTCATCCGCCGATATGGAAAGGTGGCAGAGCTAAAGTGGTGTTGTCAGACCATGAGATTCCGAAAATCAGTCTTCTCACGAAAACATCTGTAGCGTCCGACAGGTTTGGCCCATTAGGACCACTCTGTTGAAAGATGAGACTCTCACGAACACGATGGTGTCCTCCGTTTTGCTCTAGGACGCTCACAAGACTCGTCTGAAGGTCCCCGGTACCAGTTAAAAAACATTTATGGAAGTATATATGGAGATAGTTTAGTGCCTAAAATAAGGGGATAAATACATGTAAAACAAAACTCAATAATAATAACTTGCTGATCTTTCTGATCACTCAGATATAGGACAGACACTTCAGGACAAACTTCCTTTCGATTTTTTGGGGGACTATCTGTTGTTCCATGTAGTGAATATGTTATTCAATGTGTTTCGATTGGCTAATAGCAGTAATGCCAACTTCCATGTTTTATCCAACAATTTTTCTATATATTTTTTGATACCTTAAATTCTAAATCAAATAGCTAAATAATCCTTGGTATGACCATCTTAAAACAATTCAGTTTCCACACATTATGTTGTTGTTGTATTGTTTGTTTATCGTTGTATTTTAAATGTGTGTGACTGTCCTCGTCTATCAGTGTATCAGGGTTTTGTTACTTGTCATGTTTTATGTTTTTTGTGGACCCCAGGAAGAGTAGCTGCTGCTTCTGCAAAAGGTAATAGGGATCCTAATAAAGAAAGAAAGAAAGAAAGTCAGCCTAGGACAGAGGTTTACGATGGATGAAAATATTGTGGAAAATGTATACCGAACCTGGACAGTTAAAGACTAACACAGGCTTGGGTGGAAAGGGACTCTGTTAGGAAAGAAAGCAGGCTTGGGTGGGAAGGGACTCTGTTAGGAAAGAAAGCAGGCTTGGGTGGGAAGGGACTCTGTTGGGAAAGAAAGCAGGCTTGGGTGGGTAGGGACTCTGTTGGGAAAGAAAGCAGGCTTGGCCCTTGTGTCCATACCAGACCCCGACACTCAGTCTTTCCCATGTACTCAGAACCACAGGGTGCAGAGAGCAGAGGAGTGGTTGGCTTCTTCCCATATACTCAGTATACCATTCTTTGTGTGGGCTGATGACTGTGTGAGAAGCTCAAGGCTTAAAATAAATTGCTGATCACCGAAGCACATGCTTTCCTGGAATTTGGTGCGGTATGATTTGATAGCTACAATTTAATGTGTATTTCTAAATATATTGATGACTCTACCTTACAGATAGATGTTACGATACTGTTACAGACGCTGATGTCATCGAAAGAGAGTCCATTCCAATTAATCCCATATCACGACTGAATCCCTACCTGTCTGTATTTGTGTTGAGGTGGTACTCTGGCGTCCCCCTGCCTCCGTCACCATGGTGATGTTATACACATGCCCCGGGACCAGGTCGGTGACAGTGTAGTCTGTAGCGGTGCTCTCCAGAGTCAGGTTCCTCACCACACCCACTCGGTCGAACAGCAGTAGCCTAAAGCGCTCAGTCCTCCCCGGGCCAGGCTGCCAGGAAACTCCCAGGCTGTCTGAGGTCTTAGACACCTGTAGGCCGCTGACCGTCGATGGACCTGAGAGATAGAACGGGCTGTCAGTGACTGAAAGAAGATGCCATACATCAAGCTAAGTTTAAACAAAAGTCATGTTGGGAATTCACTTATAAAGCACAGGTAAATGTTTTGATATTCAAGCAAACAAGTTCTTCAACCATATTTCAAAATCTGATCCAAAAGCAGTCACTATGTCAGGGTTGGATCACTGTCATAACAATGGCAACATAACAGACCAGTTAGATAAATAAGAGGTGTTAGAAAATATCATCACCAGAGAAGGGGTGCTACGCAGAACTACACAGAGAACTATGAAGTAGGACAGGGGAATAACTGGTCAGGGGAATGAAGGGTCAGGGGAATGACTGGTCAGGGGAATGAGGGTCAGGGGAATGACTGTCAGGGGAATGACAATGGGTCAGGGGAAGATGGTCAGGTGACGGAATGACTGGGGGGAATCTGGTAGGGGAATGAAGGTCAGGGGAATGAGGTAGGGGATGAGGTCAGGGAATGACAGGGAATGGTCAGGGGAATGACTGGTCAGGGGAAATGACTGGTCAGGGAATGAAGGGTCAGGGGATGACTGTCAGGGAATGACAGGTCAGGGGAATGAAGGGTCAGGGGAATGAAGGTCAGGGGATGATGGTCAGGGGAATGAAGGGTCAGGGAATGACTGGTCAGGGAATGAAAGGGTCAGGGAAAGATGGTCAGGGGAATGAATGGGTCGGGGGAATAAAGGGTCAGGGGAATGAAGGGTAGGGAATGATGGTCAGGGGAATGACGGGGTCAGGGAATGACTGGTCGGGGGGAATAAAGGGTCAGGGGAAGACTGGTCGGGGGAATGAAGGGTCAGGGATGAAGGTAGGAATGAGGGTCAGGGGAATGACTGGTCGGGGGAATGAAGGGTCAGGGGAATGACTGGTCAGGGGAATTGACTGGTCAGGGGAATGAGGGTCAGGGGAATGACGGGGTCAGGGGAATGAAGGGTCAGGGGAAGACTGGTAGGGGAAATGCTGTAGGGGAATGAAGGGTCAGGGGAATGACTGGTCAGGGGAATGAAGGGTCAGGGGAATGAAGGGTCAGGGAATGAAGGTCAGGGAATGATGGTCAGGGGAATGACTGGTCAGGGGAATGAAGGGTCAGGGGAATGAATGGTCAGGGGAATGACTGGTCAGGGGAATGACTTGTCAGGGGAATGACTGGTCAGGGGAATGAAGGGTCAGGGGAATGAAGGGTCAGGGGAATGAAGGGTCAGGGGAATGACTGGTCAGGGGAATGAAGGGTCAGGGGAATGACTGGTCAGGTGAATGAAGGGTCAGGGGAATGAAGGGTCAGGGGAATGACTGGTCAGGGGAATGACAGGTCAGGGGAATGACTGGTCAGGGGAATGAAGGGTCAGGGGAATGAAGGGTCAGGGGAATGACTGGTCAGGGGAATGAAGGGTCAGGGGAATGAAGGGTCAGGGGAATGACTGGTCAGGGGAATGACTGGTCAGGGGAATGACTGGTCAGGGGAATGACAGGTCAGGGGAATGACTGGTCAGGGGAATGAAGGGTCAGGGGAATGAAGGGTCAGGGGAATGAAGGGTCAGGGGAATGAAGGGTCAGGGGAATGACTGGTCAGGGGAATGAAGGGTCAGGGGAATGAAGGGTCAGGGGAATGACTGGTCAAAGGAATGAAGGGTCAGGGGAATGAAGGGTCAGGGGAATGACTGGTCAGGGGAATGACTGGTCAGGGGAATGAAGGGTCAGGGGAATGACTGGTCAGGGGAATGACAGGTCAGGGGAATGAAGGGTCAGGGGAATGACTGGTCAGGGGAATGACTGGTCAGGGGAATGAAGGGTCAGGGGAATGACTGGTCAGGGGAATGACTGGTCAGGGGAATGACTGGTCAGGGGAATGAAGGGTCAGGGGAATGACAGGTCAGGGGAATGACTGGTCAGGGGAATGAAGGGTCAATGGAATGACTGGTCAGGGGAATGACTGGTCAGGGGAATGAAGGGTCAATGGAATGACTGGTCAGGGGAATGAAGGGTCAATGGAATGAAGGGTCAAGGGAATGACAGGTCAGGGGAATGACTGGTCAGGGGAAGGACTGGTCAGGGGAATGACTGGTCAGGGGAATGACTGGTCAGGGGAATGACTGGTCAGGGGAATGACAGGTCAGGGGAATGAAGGGTCAGGGGAATGACAGGTCAGGGGAATGACTGGTCAGGGGAATGAAGGGTCAGGGGAATGACAGGTCAGGGGAATGACAGGTCAGGGGAATGAAGGGTCAGGGGAATGACAGGTCAGGGGAATGACTGGTCAGGGGAATGACTGGTCAGGGGAATGACTGGTCAGGGGAATGACTGGTCAGGGGAATGAAGGGTCAGGGGAATGACTGGTCAGGGGAATGAAGGGTCAGGGGAATGACTGGTCAGGAGAATGACAGGTCAGGGGAATGACTGGTCAGGGGAAGGACTGGTCAGGGGAATGACTGGTCAGGGGAATGACTGGTCAGGGGAATGAAGGGTCAGGGGAATGACTGGTCAGGGGAATGAAGGGTCAGGGGAATGAAGGGTCAGGGGAATGACTCGTCAGGGGAATGACAGGTCAGGGGAATGACGCGTCAGGGGAATGACGCGTCAGGGGAATGACTGGTCAGGGGAATGACGCGTCAGGGGAATGACTGGTCAGGGGAATGACAGGTCAGAGGAATGACTGGTCAGGGGAATGACTGGTCAGGGGAATGACTGGTCAGGGGAATGACTGGTCAGGGGAATGACTGGTCAGGGGAATGAAGGGTCAGGGGAATGAAGGGTCAGGGGAATGAAGGGTCAGGGGAATGACAGGTCAGGGGAATGACTGGTCAGGGGAATGACTGGTCAGGGGAATGACTGGTCAGGGGAATGAAGGGTCAGGGGAATGACAGGTCAGGGGAATGACAGGTCAGGGGAATGACTGGTCAGGGGAATGACTGGTCAGGGGAATGACTGGTCAGGGGAATGAAGGGTCAGGGGAATGACGGGTCAGGGGAATGACTGGTCAGGGGAATGACTGGTCAGGGGAATGACTGGTCAGGGGAATGAAGGGTCAGGGGAATGAATGGGTCAGGGGAATGACTGGTCAGGGGAATGACAGGTCAGGGGAATGAAGGGTCAGGGGAATGAAGGGTCAGGGGAATGAAGGGTCAGGGGAATGAAGGGTCAGGGGAATGAAGGGTCAGGGGAATGACTGGTCAGGGGAATGACTGGTCAGGGGAATGACTGGACATGGGAATGACTGGTCAGGGGAATGAAGGGTCAGGGGAATAACTGGTCAGGGGACTGAAGGGTCAGGGGAATGACTGGTCAGGGGAATGACTGGTCAGGGGAATGACTGGTCAGGGGAATGAAGGGTCAGGGGAATGACTGGTCAGGGGAATGACTGGTCAGGGGAATGAAGGGTCAGGGGAATGACTGGTCAGGGGAATGAAGGGTCAGGGGAATGACTGGTCAGGGAATGACTGGTTAGGGGAATGACTGATGAATAATGCTGATGAATGTTTCATTAGGAGTGGAGTGATGGCAGGCAGATCTTCACTGAAACTACATAGAGCTACAGGTCTCTACTCTCTGAGAGGAATGACTGGCGCTGTTATAAAATGTCAGAACAAAAACAGAACAACACAGAACTTCATAGAACTACAGGTTTATATTCTCTGAGAACAGACCAGTAGAGAGGCTCTGAGAACAGACCACTAGAGAGACTCGGAGAACAAACCAGTAGAGAAGCTCTGAGAACAGACCAGTAGATAGATTTGGAGAATAGACCAGTAGAAAGACTCTGAAAACAGACCGGTAGAGAGACTCTGAGAACAGACCAGTAGAGAGACTCTGAGAACAGACCAGTAAAGAGACTCTGAGAACAGACCAGCAGAGAGACTCTGAGAACAGACCAGTAGAGAGACTCTGAGAACAGACCAGTAGAGAGACTCTGAGAACAGACCAGTAAAGAGACTCTGAGAACAGACCAGTAAAGAGACTCTGAGAACAGACCAGCAGAGAGACTCTGAGAACAGAACAGTAGAAAGACTCTGAGAACAGACCAGTAGAGAAGCTCTGAGAACAGACCAGCAGAGAGACTCTGAGAACATACCAGTAGAGAGACTCTGAGAACAGACCAGTAAAGAGACTCTGAGAACAGACCAGTAAAGAGACTCTGAGAACAGACCAGCAGAGAGACTCTGAGAACAGACCAGTAGAAAGACTCTGAGAACAGACCAGTAGAGAAGCTCTGAGAACAGACCAGCAGAGAGACTCTGAGAACAGACCAGTAGAGAGACTCTGAGAACAGACCAGTAGAGAGGCTCTGAGAACAGACCAGTAGAGAGACTCTGAGAACAGACCAGTAGAGAGGCTCTGAGAACAGACCAGTAGAGAGACTCTGAGAACAGACCAGTAGAGAGACTCTGAGAACAGACCAGTAGAGAGACTCTGAGAACAGACCAGTAGAGAGGCTCTGAGAACAGACCAGTAGAGAGACTCTGAGAACAGACCAGTAGAGAGACTCTGAGAACAGACCAGTAGAGAGACTCTGAGAACAGACCAGTAGAGAGACTCTGAGAACAGACCAGTAGAGAGACTCTGAGAACAGACCAGTAGAGAGACTCTGAGAACTGACCAGTAGAGAGACTCTGAGAACAGACCAGTAGAGAGACTCTGAGGACAGACCAGTAGAGAGGCTCTGAGAACAGACCAGTAGAGAGACTCTGAGAACAGACCAGCAGAGAGGCTCTGAGAACAGACCAGTAGAGAGACTCTGAGAACAGACCAGTAGAGAGGCTATGAGAACAGACCAGTAGAGAGGCTGAGGCTCTGAGAACAGACCAGTAGAGAGACTCAGAGAACAGACCAGTAGAGAGACTCAGAGAACAGACCAGTAGAGAGACTCTGAGAACAGACCAGTAGAGAGGCTCTGAGAACAGACCAGTAGAGAGACTCTGCGAACAGACCAGTTTAGAGACTCTGAGAACAGACCAGTAGAGAGACTCTGAGAACAGACCAGTAGAGAGACTCTGAGAACAGACCAGTAGAGAGACTCTGAGAACAGACCAGTAGAGAGACTCTGAGAACAGACCAGTAGAGAGACTCTGAGAACAGACCAGTAGAGAGGCTGAGAACAGACCAGTAGAGAGACTCTGAGGACAGACCAGTAGAGAGACTCTGAGAACAGACCAGTAGAGAGACTCTGAGAACAGACCAGTAGAGAGACTCTGAGAACAGACCAGTAGAGAGACTCTGAGAACAGACCAGTAGAGAGACTCTGAGAACAGACCAGTAGAGAGGCTGAGGCTCTGAGAACAGACCAGTAGAGAGGCTCTGAGAACAGACCAGTAGAGAGGCTGAGGCTCTGAGAACAGACCAGTAGAGAGACTCTGAGAACAGACCAGTAGAGAGACTCTGAGAACAGACAAGTAGAGAGACTCTGAGAACAGACCAGTAGAGAGACTCTGAGAACAGACCAGCAGAGAGACTCTGAGAACAGACCAGTAGAGAGGCTCTGAGAACAGACCAGTAGAGAGACTCTGAGAACAGACCAGTAGAGAGACTCTGAGAACAGACCAGTAGAGAGGCTCTGAGAACAGACCAGTAGAGAGACTCTGAGGACAGACCAGTAGAGAGACTCTGAGAACAGACCAGTAGAGAGACTCTGAGAACAGACCAGTAGAGAGACTCTGAGAACAGACCAGTAGAGAGACTCTGAGAACAGACCAGTAGAGAGGCTCTGAGAACAGACCAGTAGAGAGGCTCTGAGAACAGACCAGTAGAGAGACTCTGAGAACAGCCCAGCAGAGGGGTGCGTGGTGGAGATGGCGGAAGGAGATATGATTGTTTCAGAGCTGTTTAAAGTTCTCTGGCCACGGCTTCAGCCCCGGTCCGGCCCCGGGCCCCGCTGGGAGGGGACGATGGGAACGTGGAGATAAAGGGGACCTTTTAGATGGGCAGGGGGGCAGGGGGCAGGGGGCGAGCCCTGACTCCCTATCCCAGGCAGGCAGGCAGGCGCCCCTCTGGGTGGGTACAGTGGTGGGTTAACTAATGTCTACAGTCACATTGGAATGACAAGGATGAGAATAGGTCCCGTTCCAAATCATTTTTTATTTCCTTCCAATTAGTTTAAATGTTAGTATGATAACTCTAGCCATGGATTGTCTAAATGCCACTTCTATTCTGTGTTAAAAATAGCTCTAGATAAGAAGTGATATTCCAACTGATGGAGGGCAGTGTGCCCAGACAGGAGTGGTGTTTAGTATGATGTATGATCAGAGTCTGTTAAAGGTCTTAGTATGATGTATGACCAGAGTCTGTTAAAGGTCTTAGTATGATGTATGACCAGAGTCTGTTAAAGGTCTTAGTATGATGTATGACCAGAGTCTGTTAAAGGTCTTAGTATGATGTATGACCAGAGTCTGTTAAAGGGGACACAGCGTGCTGAGAAGGTCGAGAGCAGTGCCATGCACCCTAATCAGCCCAGGCCCTGTGAACCAAACACAGTGTCCAGCCCGCCACCCGTCCCCTCCACCCCCTGGACTCCCTGTATCCGTTAGTACAAAGGAACAATGGAGTCAGGAAATAGCTGGGGTGAGGGAGAGAGAGAGGGAGAGAGAGAGAGAGAGAAAAGAGAGAGAGAGAGAGAGACACAGAGAGAGAGAGACAGAGAGAGCGAGAGAGAGAGAGCAAGAGAGAGAGACAGAAAGAGGGAGAGAGAGAGAGAGAGAGAGAGAGAGAGAGAGAGAGAGAGAGAGAGAGAGAGAGAGAGAGAGAGAGAGAGAGAGAGAGAGAGAGAGAGAGAGAGAGTCTGGAAATACACACTTAAGGTCAGACACTTCTGTTCTGGGCCCCTGCCAAGTGTGTGTTCACGCATACAGATGTTGGATCTTCATTTGAGTCAGTTTTCTACAGCAGGAAAATAATCCTGCAGCAATAGGAAATGTGAATTGTTATGTGGATTATATATAATGAACATTTTTATTAGGGTTGATACATTTTTTAGTTTTTACGTTACGTTAGGGCAAATCAAGTATGACATTTCAAAGTGGAAATTGCAAACTTTAAAAGCTTTTTTAAACCTCAAATACACTACAAGTTTGCATTTCCAGGAAAATTCACAGCAACAAAAGAGGGATCAAATTAAGATCCTACATCTGTAGAGCCATGCGCGGACACACGCTTGCACCCACCCACACACACACACACGACACACACACACACACACACACACACACACACACACACACACACACACACACACACCACACACTTTTACTGGTTTATCACTCTCTCTCAGCAGGGTTCCAGTTCCTGTGGTCATATCAGTGAAGCCAAGGGAAAACCAGATGAAATGAACAAAAATACACTGTATGTATGATGTGATGACAGGCAACAGAGAGCTCTCTCCATCCTAGGAGACAAGTGGAAAAGCCTGTTGCAACTCATAGTAGAATAGGAACATTAATGCTGGGGCCAGCATCACAGACTACACTATGTATCCAAGAGTAGAGTCAATTAAACGTGGCAACCATAAGAACACAGTCAGAGAAGCTAACGACGTGGATTTAAGACATTATAAATGCATTACTCCATAAATATCAACGATAAAGAGTGGTTATGAAACACTGACTAAACTACACATTTCCTGTACACAAATCATATTATTATACAGCGCCTTCGGAAAGTATTACATTTACATTTTAGTCATTTAGCAGACGCTCTTATCCAGAGCGACTTACAGTTAGTGAGTGCATACATTGTTATTTTTTATACTGGAATCGAACCCACAACCCTGGCGTTGCAAATGCCATGCTCTACCAACTGAGCTACATAATAATATTATAATATGCCACTTAGCAGACGCTTTTATCCAAAGCGACTTACAGTCATGCGTGCATACATTTTTGTGTATGGGTGGTCCCGGGGATCGAACCCACTACCCTGGCGTTACAAGCGCCGTGCTCTACCAGCTGAGCTACAGAGGACCACATCCCTGCCGGCCATTCCCTCCCCTACCCTGGACGACGCTGGGCCAATTGTGCGCTGCCCCATGGGTCTCCCGGTCGCGGCCAGCTACGACAGAGCCTGGATTTGAACCAGGATCTCTAGTGGCACAGCTAGCACTGTGATGCAGTGCCTTCGACCACTGCGCCACTCAGGAGGACTATTCAGACCCCTTGACTTTTTCCACATTTTGTTACGTTACAGCCTTATTCTAAAATTGATTAAATTGTTTTTCCCCCTCATCAATCTACACACAATACGCCATAATGACAAAGCAAAAACAGGTTTTTAGAAATGTTTGCTAATTTATAAAAAAATAGGAAACTGAAATATCACATTTACATAAGTATTCAGACCCTTTACTCAGTACTTTGTTGAAGCACCTTTGGCAGCAATTACAGCATCGAGTCTTCTTGTGTATGACGCTACAAGCTGGGCACACCTGTATTTGGGGAGTTTCTCCCATTCTTCTCTGCAGATCCTCTCAAGCTCTCTCAGGTTGGATGGGGAACATTGCTGCACAGCTATTTTCAGGTCTCTCCAGAGATGTTAGATCAGGTTCAAGTCCGGGCTCTGGCTGGGTCACTCATGGACATTCAGAGACTTGTCCTGAAGCAACCCCTGCATTGTCTTGGCTGTGTGCTTAGGGTCGTTGTCCTGTTGGAAGGTGAAACTTCGCCCTAGTCGGAGGTCCTGAGTGCTCTGGAGCAGGTTTTCATCAAGGATCTCTCTGTACTTTGCTCCGTTAATCTTTCCCTCGATTCTGGCTAGTCTCCCAGTCCCTGCCGCCGAAAAACATTCCCACAGCATGATGCTGCCACCACCATGCTTCACCGTAGGGACGGTGCCAGGTTTCCTCCAGACGTAACGCTTGGCATTAAGGCCAAAGAGTTCAATCTTGGTTTCATCAGACCAGAGAATCTTGTTTCTCATGGTCTGACAGTCCTTTAGGTACCTTTTTGCAAACTCCAAGTGGGCTGTCATGTGTCTTTTACTGAGGCTTCTGTCTGGCCACTCTACCATAAAGGCCTGATTGGTGGAGTGCTGCAGAGATGGTTGTCCTTCTGGAAGGTTCTCCCATCTCCACAGAGGAACTCTAGAGCTCTGTCAGAGTGACCATCGGGTTCTTGGTCACCTCCCTGACCAAGGCCCTTCTCACCCGATTGCTCAGTTTGGCTGGGCGGCCAGTTCTAGGAAGAGTCTTTGTGGTTCCAAACTTCTTCCATTTAAGAATGATGGAGGCCACTGTGTTCTTGTGGACCTTTAATGCTGCAGAAATGTTTTGGTACCCTTCCCCAGATCTGTGCCTCGACACAATCCTGTCTCGGAGCTCTACGGACAATTCCATCGACCACATGGCTTGGTTTTTGCTCTGACATGCACTGTCAACTGTGGGACCTTATAGAGACAGGTGTGTGCCTTTCCAAATCATATCCAATCAACTGAATTAACCACAGGTGAACTCCAATCAAGTTGTAGAAACATCTCAAGAATGATCAATGGAAACAGGATGCACCTGAACTCAGTTTCGAGTCTCATAGCAAAGGGTCTGAATACATATGTAAATAAGGTATTTATGTTTTTTTATTTTAATAAATGTGCAAACATTTCTAAAAACCTGTTTTCACTTTGTCATTATGGGGTATTGTGTGTAGATTGCTGAGGATTTGTATCTATTTAATCCATTTTAGAATAAGGCTGTAACGTAACAAAATGTGGAAGAAGTCAAACGGTCTGAATACTTTCCGAAATATACAAATCAAGAAAAATACCTATGATCTATTTCCCCAACATATTACCCCCAACAAAACCCCTACTTACTGGTCTGCAGGGTGACATTGGCCCGTTCTTCATCTGTCATTGACATTATTTCCAGGATGTATGATGTTCCCGGTTCCAAACTCACTACCTGGCATTGAAACATACCGTCTTCCTCCACCTCTTTCACACAGTGTGTTCCTCCAGAGCTACTATCCACAGATAACACAGTGAAGTTACACTCCTGTCCCGCCGTAGTCAGTCTTAATGTTATAGATTCCATACTGCAGTTGGCCTCAGCCACGTTTATGCTACATTTCTGGTCCTCGGCGGCGGTTACACACTGAAAATAAATGATGTAATGTGTCAAAATAACATTGTGTAGCATGTGTATGCTTTTTGAGACCAAATGTTTTGGTGAAACTTAAAAAACACGTCAACATAACAGCAGCTTCTATGTCCCTCCAGCCTACAGCAACCTTTCCCAAATCAATTAACAGAAATAAAAATATATACACTTTTGAAGAAACTAGTACATTTGATGAGACTTCTATTAAGTGGTTCATCGGATATGATGGATGAAATTAGAGTTTTCTAGACTTACCAAGAGAATCCCTGACGCCACACAAAGGGTTAAACAAAAAACTTTACATTTCAGCATTTTGATTGTTGGTTTACACATTATTCACGTCCAAAAAGTTTAAATCCAAAAGTGCATAATCCAAAACCATACTCCAAAAGATGTGACAATCAGTACAAATGCCTCATCCACTTGAGTAAAACAAAAGTCCTCTGAAGCCTTGCAGTTGCGGTGTGCCAAAATCACCTAGAAAATAATAATTCAGTAGTAAGCACTCCTAGTAGATGTTGTGTGAAGACAACTGATCACAGTTTCTGTTGGAGACTTCCATCTATTCCACCTCCTCCAAACAGTAAGATACTTGAGTCGTTACAGGATATCCTCAACCAGTAAAATGTTTGTGTGACTCAAGCGCCAAGCTTCCAACGCATTCAACCAGACCCCCTAGACTCTGAATAAGGCAACACTACAATACTACACTTTGGTGGGTATCAGTCAAATATTGCTTTGCTGATACTGTCTCTATAAGTACATTTCAATAAAAAATCTATTTTTTTATAGATGTGTTTAAAATATGTCTCTAAACTTTCCCCCTTGGAGAGAGAGAGGGCATCAAAAGTCTTTGTTCTCCAGAACTACTTTTAGGTAGTCCACTCCTTTTTCCTTCCTGTATATACTCTCTCTCTCTCTCTCTCTCTCTCTCTCTCTCTCTCTCTCTCTCTCTCTCCCTCTCTCTCTCTCTCTCTCTCTCTCTCTCTCTCTCAAGCCTGGCTCGATGAAACCAAAACTTTCAGTAAACCTCAGAGCTCGGAAATGTATTTTCTATTCTAGTTAGTTTTCCATTTCCGGCACCTGAGCATTGTCTGTTGGGTATGACAACAACATCAAACCTCAAAAACGACAGTTTCCGTTGACATTTTCACAGCTCTACAGTGCTGTCTGGAGCCCTGAAATACTGTAGGTATCTGCCATGTTTCAGAGGCTGTGCCTTTGGACTATATTTCAACATTTCACTTGAACACATTTCACTTTATAACATTTTCACTTTTCAACATTACATTTTTTTTAAATGCTGAAGAGAGACTGAAATTAAAACCAGATCAGGTTGAAACGTGTTCTCTTTATTGGCAGTAAGGACTATAAAGTCAACGTCTTACAGTAAGGTACAGTATCAGCAGTTTCATTAGGTACAGTATCAGCAGTTTCATTAGGTACAGTATCAGCAGTTTCATTAGGTACAGTATCATGTTTTTTGTTTAGGTACAGTATCAGCAGTTTCATTAGGTACAGTATCATGTTTTTTGTTTAGGTACAGTATCAGCAGTTTCATTAGGTACAGTATCATGTTTTTTGTTTAGGTACAGTATCAGCAGTTTCATTAGGTACAGTATCATGTTTTTTGTTTAGGTACAGGGCAGTTCAGTGGCGTCTTCAAACCGCCTAGCTGTCTAGCCCAGGTAGTACAACTCTCAACGTAGTACTCTCAATGTAGCACCACTCTGCACAACACAGGGAAATAGAGTAACGTCCAGGAATATTCCATGTACAGTACAGTAATATAGATAGTCAACAGAAACACTTCAGATCTGTCTAAACTTCATAGTATGGCTTCAGTACTAAACCCTCAGTAAACCACCAAAAACAATTACTCAACATACTGAATACGTTTTAGTTCAGTTTTAGATTTTAGTTTTTTTTTTTTTTTGGTCTGTTGTTCACCACAAGGTTTTTTGAATAACACACAAGAGTTGGAATACAGGTTGATAGCAACATATTTCCTCTGCACCAACAAGTATTTAGTGAACAGATTTCCAGTCGTACAGTGCAAGGGAAAACCCTTTCCCTCAGTAGCATGAACAACACAAACAGCTGTCTGAGGCCTGCACCTCTCCTTGTGTTGCCCTCCAAACACGTACGTTTAAATAAAGCATACATACAGTATGTACAGCTTATATCAGATTAATATAAATAGTTACTTTTGTGGTTATTATGTTGGACAGAGAGAGAAGTAATCACAACATTCAAGTCCATTACTAGTACATAGGGAAAGAACTCATAGGTTGCATCCATAATGGCACCCTATTCTCTGTATAGTTGTCCCTATGGGCCTGGTCAAAAGTACTTTCAAGGAAATAGGGGTGCTATTTGTAACGCAGCCATAGTCTCCTGGCTAATATGACCATCAAGCCCACATAGTGGATAGATACAACTCTACTAACAGTAAACAATGTGCACGGATGGTTAACATTTATGTATTCAAAACCTTTTTTTTTTTATCACAAATAATAATAATAATAATAATAATACAAAAATCATCCATAAGTACATACAAAAAGTGTTCCTAGAAGTTTCTCAATTCATTGTCACACAACAAACAACAATCTGTATCCTCCTTGGTCGAACACTTGCACATTTTCAGCAGCAAGATAGATTCTCATGTGGTCCTTATAGATATGCCTGACCACATTATGTTTTAATAGCACTTTCAAATGTAGTGTATTTATTCCTCCACCGTGCATATTCATGGTGTTGCACCTCCGTCACTCGGTCGCGTCATTGCCATTGTAATGAACGTTCTCAAGCCGCCCTCTACTGGCGGCGCCATAGTGGTGCCCTAAAGTGGTGATAAACCCAGTCATTCTGGACGGAGGCTAACTACTGTTTCGTCTAAATTACACTATAGTGCCTGGAAATACGATGACATTGCTAAAGTGTTTAGTAGGAAACAACTTTTCCAGCGTTATCATGTCATCAAATGTACTTTATACAAATGGCAATGTTGTCATTAGCTAGCAAAGTTCGTCAAAAATAGCTAGCAATGCTAACGTTAGCTAACTAAAATCCGGTGGCCTCCCCTCAATCTTTGCTAGCTAGCTAACGTTATACTGCATCTAAAGTCCATCTGCCGACGTCAAAGTGATGACAAATGGTTTTCCTACAAATTATTTGCCTCATTTTTTTTTAAAATGTCATTGTATTTCCAAAGCAACTGTAATGCACTTTTGATGAAATCTCCATCAGCGCTCATTCCACGATGCATTGAGTACAACGCTCAGTCGGGGCATCAGTCCAAAATGAACGTTCAAAACAATATTGTGAGGAAACACGCAACACCATGAATAGAAGCGTGGTGTAGATTACTGACCACTAACACCAGAGCCTGGAACACACATGGAATATTACTCTGCTTCACTATTGTTTCAGTGAAATAGCGATATTTTCAGTTTGAGGTTCCAGGCTACTAAACTCTTCTAAAGCATGTCAAACCTATTGTCGTGAACTTTAGGGCAAGCAGCTTTCATGAGAACAACTTTGGCTGTTTGTGGGAATCTGTACTGTGGAGTTAGAAACCCTGTGAAGTTAAGGAAATAACCTAATGGATGTCATGTTTGGAGAGGAAGGAGCAGAGGGCCCGTTTGTTTTGTCTAGAATCCACCCTGAATACTGCTCTGCTTCACTAGTGAGACAATAGTGAAATTGAACGCTATTCAGGGTGGATTCCAAGCTGGTAATTGTGCAACTCACTTCAGATTTTCAGGAATTACCAGAAAAGTCTGAAGGGAATCATGTCCAATCTATGTATTTGGCATTCAGAAGCTATATCAGTGGTTGAAATCAGGGTCAGATAATCCTGACAAAAATGATAAGTGTATGATTGATGTTATCTTCGTAATAACTTTTAGTTTCAGAGATAAAGTGTGTGGGAATCTATACCATTCAGTCATACAGAGAAACCATCATGTCTAAAAGTGCCAAATGATCATGAGTTTACTGTACACATCAAAACATTATCTTTAATATTGTATAAAAATAAAAGCATTATTATTACTATAATTTAATCTATATGATCAGCAATTAAACATAACACGAGTGCACCATTGTCATTTAAATGCTAAAGTTTACATTTTGGTAAAGAATGTGGTCATATAATTATCTGTGACGCTTAAAGGTCCAATGTAGCCGTTTTTATCTTAATATCAAAGCATTTCTGGGTAACAATTAAGTGCCTTACTTGTGTAAGGTACTTATTCCAACATCATAGTGTGTAAATATATATATAAAGCACAGGAAAAATCACATTTTTGACTGCACTGGGCCTTTAATTGTCAAACGCAATATACCTAAGGATGGATTTGAAAGCTAAGGAATGGAAAATAAATTATTGTCTGGAAACAATTATTTTGGTAGTAAGATTGATTTACTGATGAAATGCCATGCCATTTCAGAGCCAGGGTAGATCACACAGTAACTGATAAGAGCGAGCTTTGGCATGGAACAACATTGGACCACACGGTCGGCCATGACAGTTCTCTGAGAACAAGGTAGATCTATAGGGTGGCCTACAGCATGGCTGTCAAACTCAATTCCTGGAGGGCCGCGTGTCGGCTGGTTTTTGTTATTGGCTTCCAATACAGTGTGTATAATGGCCATGCCCATAGCGTAAAGACCTTCGATCTGTAGTACCAGACAGGCCCAATCGTTCCCTCACCTTACATACACTGATGTTTCAATGGATGATCAACACGCTATCAGAGGTATACCGTATGGCAGAGGGGCAGCTTCTAGTGTGCTAATGAGTAAAAAGCCAACCACCAATGGAATATAACAGTCTTTAGAGTAATACCCTTTGTATAACAGCACATAGTTTTCAAAAATTAAAATAATCGTAATTCAAAAATATCCTAGTAAAGTCACAAAGACAAGTGCTAATCATTTCGACAATGTACCTTTTGCATTTTAATAGAAACACCATGGACGATTCAAGGACCATAGACTACCTACCCATCTAGCACATACTAGTAAGAGGTCAGAGTGTAGGTATATACTACAGAATCAATATCAGGCAATCTGATTGGACAGAGCTGCAGTATCAGAGAGTTTGATTGGACAGAGGCAGGTTGCTCACAACAACGTTTTCAGAAGCAGAGCTGCTCACAAACGACAGGAAGTAGTAGTAGAAGAAGAAGAAGAGGAGGAGGAGGAGGAAGAGAAGAAAAGATAGATTACATTCAGAGACAAAATCACCTGTCCACACCTCCATCTCTCTCTCTGTAAGGAGACTCAATCAATCAGCCAATAGCAGTGCAGGCTGTCCATACATGTCCACAAAGACTAAGCCCACAAGGACATCTACCCTCCAATCGTCACCCAGACATCCACTTCCTCATTAGTCACATGACCTCACAGTCACCAGGTAAGATAGGTCCTTCCCGCTAGGGGGGAAATTCAATTCCACTTCCTGGAAAAAACCTAGCGCATCCAGTGAAAACTTCCTGGTCCTTGTTCATTGGCCGGTGTCGGCGGAGAGGCGGGTTTGGAAGAGGCTTAAGGCGTGGTGCACAAACTCGTACTGCTCCCCTGTCTGGATCAGCCCGCCTCTGAAAAGACACACAGAGACAAGGCAGCCGTTAGAATCACAGCACAAACAACAGTATCGACCAGGAACAGTGTTAGCATGTTAGTAACATAACATACTATGAAATACAAGGAGTGGGAAATGATTTTAATAAACTAAACCTTCCATCAGTTGTGGCCATGTTACTGTCTGAAAAAAAATAAAAAATAAAATAATGAATCCATCTCAAACTGTGACTGAAAAACCTGTCTCTTATTTTAGTGTTGCGTTGGCTGCTGAACATTTGGAACATTAATTACCAATGTTCTAACTCTGTCTCATATTACAGTAGGCATTTATGATTCTCTCTAGCTCATTTAATAGTGTGGTAATTAGTCACGATAAGGGGTCATTTAAACTCTTACTCACTCATCTAAAATGGTACAGCGGCACTTTGCTTCAGTACATTTTGTTCAATGATTAACTAAGCTCAACCAATGCAACATTATGAAGTCCTTGATACCCTGTTGAGCTACAGGCTACTGCATAATGCTAATGGATGATTGCTTTATCTTGGTACAGACAGGATGTGGGAGACATTTCAGCTTAAACCCTGTTCAAGCTCAGGCGATGAGTGTGTGTGTGTGTGTGTGTGTGTGTTTGAAAGAGGTAGGAACATTATCACGTTCTGTCCCTCTCTTGTAAGAAAAACACAGTTTCTCATGTACAAGTTTCTTAGCATGATTTATGTCACACCCACCTACATCCCTACTAACCCAGCCACATCAATCCTGACTGTCTGTCTGACTGTCCTAACCCAGCCACATCCATCCTGACTGTCTGTCTGACTGTCCTAACCCAGCCACATCCATCCTGACTGTCTGTCTGACTGTCCTAACCCAGCCACATCCATCCTGACTGTCTGTCTGACTGTCCTAACCCAGCCACATCCATCCTGACTGTCTGTCTGACTGTCCTAACCCAGCCACATCCATCCTGACTGTCTGTCTGACTGTCCTAACCCAGCCATATCCATCCTGACTGTCTGACTGTCCTAACCCAGCCATATCCATCCTGTCTGTCTGACTGTCCTAACCCAGCCACATCCATCCTCACTGTCTGACTGTCCTAACCCAGCCACATCCATCCTGACTGTCTGTCTGACTGTCCTAACCCAGCCATATCCATCCTGACTGTCTGTCTGACTGTCCTAACCCAGCCACATCCATCCTGACTGTCTGTCTGACTGTACTAACCCAGCCACATCCATCCTGACTGTCTGTCTGACTGTCCTAACCCAGCCACATCCATCCTGACTGTCTGTCTGACTGTACTAACCCAGCCACATCCATCCTCACTGTCTGACTGTCCTAACCCAGCCACATCCATCCTGACTGTCTGTCTGACTGTCCTAACCCAGCCACATCCATCCTGTCTGTCTGACTGTCCTAACCCAGCCACATCCATCCTGACTGTCTGTCTGACTGTCCTAACCCAGCCTCATCCATCCTGACTGTCTGTCTGATTGTCCTAACCCAGCCACATCCATCCTGACTGTCTGACTGACTGTCCTAACCCAGCCTCATCCATCCTGACTGTCTGTCTGATTGTCCTAACCCAGCCACATCCATCCTGACTGTCTGACTGACTGTACTAACCCAGCCTTATCCATCCTGACTGTCTGACTGACTGTCCTAACCCAGCCACATCCATCCTGTCTGTCTGTCTGACTGTCCTAACCCAGCCACATCCATCCTGACTGTCTGTCTGACTATCCTAACCCAGCCACATCCATCCTGACTGTCTGACTGACTGTCCTAACCCAGCCACATCCATCCTGACTGTCTGACTGACTGTCCTAACCCAGCCACATCCATCCTGTCTGTCTGTCTGACTGTCCTAACCCAGCCACATCCATCCATCCTGACTGTCTGACTGTCCTAACCCAGCCACATCCATCCTGACTGTCTGTCTGACTGTCCTAACCCAGCCACATCCATCCTGACTGTCTGTCTGACTATCCTAACCAGCCACATCCATCCTGACTGTCTGACTGACTGTCCTAACCCAGCCACATCCATCCTGTCTGTCTGTCTGACTGTCCTAACCCACACCATCCATCCTTGACTGTCTGTCTGACTGTCCTAACCCAGCCACATCCATCCTGACTGTCTGTCTGTCTGTCCTAACCCAGCCACATCCATCCTGACTGTCTGTCTGTCTGACTGTCCTAACCCAGCCACATCCATCCATCCTGTCTGTCTGTCTGTCCTAACCCAGCCACATCCATCCTGACTGTCTGTCTGACTGTCCTAACCCAGCCACATCCATCCTGACTGTCTGTCTGATTGTCCTAACCCAGCCACATCCATCCTCACTGTCTGACTGTCCTAACCCAGCCACATCCATCCTGACTGTCTGTCTGACTGTCCTAACCCAGCCACATCCATCCTGACTGTCTGACTGTCCTAACCCAGCCACATCCATCCATCCTGTCTGTCTGTCTGTCCTAACCCAGCCACATCCATCCTGACTGTCTGTCTGACTGTCCTAACCCAGCCACATCCATCCTGACTGTCTGTCTGATTGTCCTAACCCAGCCACATCCATCCTGACTGTCTGTCTGACTGTCCTAACCCAGCCACATCCATCCTCACTGTCTGACTGTCCTAACCCAGCCACATCCATCCTCACTGTCTGTCTGATTGTCCTAACCCAGCCACATCCATCCTCACTGTCTGACTGTCCTAACCCAGCCACATCTATGCTGACTGTCTGTTTGACTGTCCTAACCCAGCCACATCCATCCTCACTGTCTGACTGTCCTAACCCAGCCACATCTATGCTGACTGTCTGTTTGACTGTACTAACTCAGCCACATCCATCCTGACTGTCTGTCTGACTGTCCTAACCCAGCCACATCCATCCTCACTGTCTGACTGTCCTAACCCAGCCACATCTATGCTGACTGTCTGTTTGACTGTACTAACTCAGCCACATCCATCCTGACTGTCTGACTGACTGTCCTAACCCAGCCACATCCATCCTGACTGTCTGTCTGACTGTCCTAACCCAGCCACATCCATCCTGACTGTCTGACTGTCCTAACCCAGCCACATCCATCCTGACTGTCTGTCTGACTGTCCTAACCCAGCCACATCCATCCTGACTGTCTGTCTGTCCACTGATGTCTGATGTCCAACCCAGCCACATCCATCCTGTCTGTTGACTGTCCTAACCCAGCCACATCCATCCTGACTGTCATGATGTCCTAACCAGCCACATCCATCATGTGTCTGACTGTCTAACCACAGCCAATCCATCCTGCTGTCTGACGTCCTAACCCAGCCAATCCATCTGTCTGTCAGTCTGGACTGTACTGTCTGTAATCACTAATGGTCATTAGAGCAACACAAACCCAGTAGCATCCAAGCAGGCATGAGGACATGGCTTTATCATCACCAGGTGGTGTATTCACCTTTCTGCTGTAAACATATTGTATTACATTGGATCTATTCCACATACTGTGTAATACACCAAGTGTTGGTAACTCACCTGTCCGCTCGGAGCTGACACACAATCCCCAGCACATCTACCACTCCCTCCAGCTCCAACTGACGACAGCCTATCGTCGTGGCGATGAAGCAGCCCGTTCGGCCAATCCCTGCGCTGCAGTGTACGATGACGGGTCCCTGCGATGGGGAGCCCGTCCTGTCCTTCTCCACGTCTCTCATCAGCTGGAGCAGGGGCTGGGCGCTGTCTGGGGTCTTATGGTCCGGCCATGATGTGTACCAGTAGTGCTTCACCACACGACTCTGGGCCCCTTGCTGAGAAAGAGACAAAAACACACAGAGTATGAGCTAGAGTAAGATCAACAGTAAGATCAAGATCAAGATCAAGATCAAGAGTAAGATCAAGATCAAGATCAAGATCAAGATCAAGAGTAAGATCAAGATCAAGAGTAAGATCAAGATCAAGATCAAGATCAAGATCAAAATCAAGATCAGGAGTAAGATCAAGATCAAGATCAAAATCAAAATCAAGATCAAGATCAAGAGCAAGATTGTGGTTTCAGTCTAGTTTAAAGTAACTGTCCAGTGTTTACATATTTCTATAGAATATGACCTATAATCAATGACAATGTGAGTGAAATAGTTTTCCTTCCAAAAATGTTTATAAAGTATGTTATAAAGCGGCTTTTCTGTGTTGGAATGGTGTGGGCGTACCCCAACAACAGAATAGTGTGGGTATACACTACCGGTCAAAAGTTTTAGAACACCTACTCATTCAAGGGATTTACTTTATTTTTTACTATTTTCTACATTGTAGAATAATAGTGAAGACATCAAAACTATGGAATAACACATATGGAATCATGTAGTAACCAAAAAAGTGTTAAACAAATCAAAATATATTTTATATTTGAGATTCTTCAAATAGCCACCCTTTGCTTTGATGACAGCTTTGCACACTCTTGGCATCCTCTCAACCAGCTTCATGAGGTAGTCACCTGGAATGCATTTCAATTAACAGGTGTGCCTTGTTAAAAGTTAATTTGTGGAATTTCTTTCCTTAATGCGTTTGAGCCAATCAGTTGTGTTGTGACAAGGTAGGGGGTGTATACAGAAGATAGCCCTATTTGGTAAAAGACCAAGTCCATATTATGGCAAGAACAGCTCAAATAAGCAAAGAGAAACGACAGTCCATCATACTTTAAGACATGAAGGTCAGTCAATACGGAACATTTCAAGAACTTTAAACGTTTCTTTAAGTGAGGTCGTAAAAACCATCAAGCGCTATGATGAAACTGGCTCTCATGAGGACCGCCACAGGAATGGAAGACCCAGAGTTACCTCTGCTGCAGAGGATAAGTTCATTGGAGTTACCAGCCTCAGAAATTGCAGCCCAAATAAATGCTTCACAGCGTTCAAGTAACAGACACATCTCAACATCAACTGTTCAGAGGAGACTGCGTGAATCAGGCCTTCTTGGTCGAATCGCTGCAAAGAAACCACTACTAAAGGACACCAGTAAGAAGAAGAGACTTACTTGGGCCAAGAAACACGAGCAATGGACATTAGACCGGTGGAAATGTGTCCTTTGGTCTAGAGTCCAAATTGGAGATTTTTGGTTCCAACCGCCGTGTCTTTGTGAGACGCAGTGTGGGTGAACGGATGATCTCCGCATGTGTATTTCCCACCGTAAAGCATGGAGGAGGAGGTGTTATGGTGTTGGGGTGCTTTGCTGGTGTCACTGTCTGTGATTTATTTAGAATTCAAGGCACACTTAACCAGCAAGGCTACCACAGCATTCTGCAGCGATACGCCATCCCATCTGGTTTGGGCTTAGTGGGACTATCATTCATTTTTCAACAGGACAATGACCCAACACACCTCCAGGCTGTGTAAGGGCTATTTTACCAAGAAAGAGAGTGATGGAGTGCTGCATCAGATGACCTGGCCTCCACAATCCCCCGACCTCAACCAAATTGAGATGGTTTGGGATGAGTCGGACCACAGAGTGAAGGAAAAGCAGCCAACAAGCGCTCAGCATATGTGGGAACTCCTTCAAGACTGTTGGAATAGAGAATGCCAAGAGTGTGCAAAGCTGTCATCAAGGCAAGGGGTGGCTATTTGAAGAATCTCAAATATAAAATTAGTTGAACACTTTTTTGGTTACTACATGATTCCATATGTGTTATTCCATAGTTTTGATGTCTTCACTATTATTCCACAATGTAGAAAATAGTAAAAAGAAAGAAAAATCCTTGAATTAGTAGGTGTTCTAAATCTAGTGTATACCGGTCATAAAAAAATATGAATGCGAGTAGATCGCTGATTGGCCAGTTCATCCTCCTCAGTAGGATGACATCATACTCTATGAGGAAATAGCAAAGCATTTTGAAACGGTTTGTTTGAGATCCAAGTTTGAGGTGAGATTTTTTGAAGTGTTTTATTTTCTCCAATTTATGCTTTGGCCACAAATACGAGTAGGCCTATAAGATGAGTCAAACAACATTATTTGGGTATGAGTTAACAGGACATTAACTTTTAAAAGATTTCCACTGGAGAGTTAAGTGTGTAGTAAATAGATGGAAACCCACTGCAATCATGGTCCAGTATGGTAATATGAAGATTCCATCACTACACCATAAGGTACCTTCAGGGTGAGGGTCCGGCAGGTGTAGTTGTCACACTCTCTCACGCTGTTGATGAGCACCTCCACCTTGCCATAGAAACCACGCCTCTCCGGCCAGTACAGAACACATTTCTGGAACAGGCAACATCATTAAATCACTACGCATGTTATCATACCACCAATCCTTTATTGATCCAGTGAATTACCTAACACAAGATAAACAGGATTATGTCATGTATCCTTGTCAAATGTACATGTGTAGATTCATTACATATGTGTTTATACCTATTCGTTACCGTGTTCGTGTGTTCTGTGTTAGGATTTGAATTTGTTAGTTTTTTCCCCACCCGAGAATAAATCACTTTTCTCCCGGGGTAACCCGGTATTTCCCACCAAAACCAGAAATGTCATTCTAAAGCACATAATGCATAGAAATAAATGACATATATTTAATTTGAGTAGAGCTTTGATCAGCATGAAAATCCAAGCCTGATGCTACCTGAACCTGATGAGCCATTCATGGCTGGAGGAGATGGCTGCCATTTTATAGGCTCCTAACCAATTGTGCTATTGTCTGTGTTTTTTCGCGTTATTTGTAACTTCTTTTGTACATAATGTTTCTGCCACTGTCTCTTATGACCGAAAAGAGCTTCTGGATATCAGGACAGAGATTACTCACCTCGAAGATTTTTCTTTAACGAGTCGGAAGCAAAGGATTTTCTTCAGACACCCGACAAGGCCCAAATCCCTGTCATTCGCATGAGAAAGAGACGTAGGTCGGGGTGCCTTGTAAGGATCCGACGGTGGGTAATCTGCCTCTACCATCAGTCCTATTCGCCAATGTACAATCATTGGATAACAGAATAGACGAACTACGATCATGGATATCCGACCAACGGGACATTAAAAACTGTAATATCTTATGTTTCACCGAGTTGTGGCTGAACGAAGACATGGATAACATACAGCTGGCGGGATATACGCTGCATCGGCAAGATAGAACGGCTGCCTCTGGTAAGACAAGGGGTGGCGGTCTGTGTATATTTGTAAACAACAGCAGGTGCACAAAATCTAATATTAAGGAAGTCTCAAGGTTTTGCTCGCCTGAGGTAGAGTATCTCATGATAAGCTGTAGACCACACTATTTACCAAGACAGTTTTCATCTATATTTTCGTAGCTGTCTATTTACCACCACAAACCGATGCTGGCACTAAGACCGCACTCAATGAGCTGTATAAGGCCATAAGCAAAGAGGAAAACGCTAATCCAGAGGCGGCGCTCCTAGTGGCCGGAGACTTTAACGCAGGGAAACTTAAATCCGTTCTACCTAATTTCTACCAGAATGTTAAATGTGCAACCAGAGGAAAAAAAAAAAAAACTATAGACCACCTTTACTCCACACACAGAGACACGTACAAAGCTCTCCCTCGCCCTCCATTTGGCAAATCTGACCATAACTCTATCCTCCTGATTCCTGATTATAAGCTAAAACTAAAGCAGGAAGCACCAGTGACTCGGTCAGAAGTGGTCAGATGATGCAGATGCTAAGCTACAGGACTGTTTTGCTAGCAGAGACTGGAATATGTTCAGGGATTCTTCCGATGGCATTGAGAAGTACACCACATCAGTCACTGGCTTCATCCAGAAGTGCATCGATAATGTTGTCCCCACAGTGACCGTACGTACATACCCCAACCAGAAGTCATGGATTACAGGCAACATCCGTGCTGAGCTAAAGGGTAGAGCTGCCGCTTTCAAGGAGCGGGACTCTAACCCGGACGCTTATAAGAAATCCCGCTATGCCCTCCGACGAACCATCAAACAGGCAAAGCGTCAATACAGGACTAAGATTGAATCGTACTACACCGGTTCCGACGCTCGTCGGATGTGGCAGAGCTTGCAAACTATTACAGATTAAAAAGGGAAGCACAGCCGCGAGCTGCCCAGTGACACGAGCCTACCAGACGAGATAAATTACTTCTATGCTCGCTTCGAGGCAAGCAACACTGAAGCAAGCATGAGAGCACCAGCTGTTCTTGATGACTATGTGATCACGCTCTCTGTAGTCGATGTGAGTAAGACCTTTAAACAGGTCAACATTCACAAGGCCGCAGGGCCAGACGGATTACCAGGACGTGTACTCTGAGCATGCGCTGACTACATGGCAAGTGTCTTCACTGACATTTTCAACCTGTCACCCTGACTGAGTCTGTAATACCAACACGTTTCAAGCAGACCACCATAGTCCCTGTGCCAAAGAACACTAAGGTAACCAGCCTAAATGACTACCGACCCGTAGCACTCACGTCTGTAGCCATGAAGTGCTTTGAATGGCTGGTCATGGCTCACATCAACACCATTATCCCAGAAACCCTAGACCCACTCCAATTTGCATACCGCCCCAACAGATCCACAGATGATGCAATCTCTATTGCACTCCACAATGCCCCTTCCCACCTGGACAAAAGGAACACCTATGTGAGAATGCTATTCATTGACTACAGCTCAGCGTTCAACACCATAGTGCCCTCAAAGCTCATCACTAAGCTAAGGACCCTGGGACTAAACACCTCCCTCTGCAACTGGATCCTGGACTTCCTGACGGGCCGCCCCCAGGTGGTAAGGGTAGGCAACAACACATCTGCCACACTGATCCTCAACACGGGGGCCCCTCAGGGGTGAGTGCTCAGTCCCCTCTTGTACTCCCTGTTCACTCATGACTGCATGGCCAGGCACGATTCCAACACCATCATTAAGTTTGCAAATGACACAACAGTGGTAGGCCTGATCACCGACAACGATGAGACAGCCTATAGGGAGGAGGTCAGAGACCTGGCCGTGTGGTGCCAGGATAACAACCTCTCCCTCAATGTGATCAAGACAAAGGAGATGATTGTGGACTACAGGAAAAAGAGGACCGAGCACGCCCCCATTCTCATCGACGGGGCTGTAGTGGAACAGGTTGAGAGCTTCAAGTTCCTTGGTGTCCACATCACCAACAAACTATCATGGTCCAAACACACCAAGACAGTCGTGAAGAGGCCACGACAAAGCCTATTCCCCCTCAGGAGACTGAACATATTTGGCATGGGTCCTCAGATGCTCAAAATGTTCTACAGCTGCACCATTGAGAGCATCCTGACTGGTTGCGTCACTGCCTAGTATGGCAACTGCTTGGCCTCTGATCGCAAGGCACTACAGAGGGTAGTGCGTACGGCCCAGTACATCACTGGGGCCAAGCTTCCTGCCATCCAGGACCTCTATACCAGGCGGTGTCAGAGGAAGGCCCTAAAAATGGTCAAAGACTCCAGCCACCCTAGTCATAGACTGTTCTTGCTGCTACCGCACGACAAGCGATACCGGAGCGCCAAGTCTAGGTCCAAAAGGCTTCTTAACAGCTTCTACCCCCACGCCATAATACTCCTGAACAGCTACTCAAATGGCTACCCGGACTATTTGCATTTTGTAGTGATCAATTTTTTAACACCTAATTTTCTTAAAACTGCTTTTTTGGTTAAGGGCTTGTAAGTAAGCATTTCACTGTAAGGTCTACCCCTGTTGTATTCGGCGCATGTGACCAATAAAATGTGATTTGATTTGATTTGATTGAATACATTTTATGAAGATTAGCTGACTGCTTGTTGTATGGAAACAGCTCTTGTCTCAGCTGTCATGAGCAACTTACTCCGCCTGGTATCAGTCAGTGGGGTTTAAACTTGGTCGTTCTAAGAAATACTGCATTGAATTTTTTAGCTGAAAGAGGTAGGCTAGGACATATATATATATATCAATCTTGAACAGCATTATCTATTTTGAATGCATTTTCAATGGAACTGATAGAGAGAGAGAAAGAATGCTTGCGTACGCACTGTTCTATGGCAATATTATTCAAGTGATAGGCTGTTTTAAAACTCTGCAGCTGCAATTTAAAATAATAATCTTTACAATAAAAGACAGTAACCCCGTGCGAGGAGCAGGCACGGGCCGTACCGTGCTGGGAACACGCACCACTGGTCTGGTGCGAGGAGCAGGCACAACCCGTCCTGGCTGGACGCTCACTTTGCCAGGCAAGTGCGGGGCGCTGGCACAGGACGCACTGGGATGTGAAGGCGCACTGGCGACACAGTGCGTATAACCGGCGCAGGATATACTGGACCGAGGAGGCGTACTGGAGACCAGGAGCGTTGAGCCGACACAACCCGTCCTGGCTGAATGCTCACCTTCGCACAGCAAGTGCGAGGCGCTGGCACAGGACGCACTGGGCTGTTAAGGCGCACTGGCGACACAGTGCGTATCTCCGCATAACATGGATCCTGAACGGTCACACGCTCCTTAAAGCGAGTGCGGGTAGTTGGCTCTTGTCTGAAACCTGGCTCCACGTGGTGGTGAACTACGAAGTCGCCTCCGTCTGCTCACATGGAAGGCGATCCCTTCCTGCCTGGGTCTCCTCCTTCGCCCAGGGTCCCTTTCCGGCCAATATCTCCTCCCATGTCCAGAATGTCTTCCCCACCTGTGTCCAGCATGTCTGCTCCTCCTGGCCACGCTGCTTGGTCCGTTGGAGGTGGGATCTTCTGTCACAAACGTTGAGTGAAGGATCGGACCAAGGTGCAGCGTGGTATGCGAACATATTAGTTTAATAACTGAACACACACAAAACAACAAAATACAAACAAACGTAAAGTTCTGCAGGCTACACAGCTACTAACCAGAAACAAGATCCCACAAACTAAGGTGGGAAAAAGGCTGCCTAAGTATGATCCCCAATCAGAGACAACGATCGACAGCTGCCTCTGATTGGGAACCACACCCGGCCAACAAAGAAATAGAAAACCTAGAATGGACACCCAAATCACACCCTGACCTAACCAACTAGAGAATAAAAGGGATCTCCAAGGTCAGGGCGTGACATATTCATATAAATAATTTATTATAATTAACTGATTTCTCGCTGTTATTTATCCTGGGGAAAAGAGAGTGGGTTTGGGTGGGAAATCTCGGTAACCCGGTTCCCGCTATTCAACCCTAGTGTGTGTTAATGTGTGCATGCGTATGTGCACGTGCGTGTGTGTGTGCGTGTGCGTGTGTGTGTGCGTGTGTGTGAATGCATGTGTGTGCGTGTGTGAGTGTGTGCATGTGTGCATGTGTGTGTGTGTGTGTGTGTGTGTCTGCGTGTTTGTGTGTGTGTCACCCGTACCTCGTTCTTCTCCCTGAGCTTGGTGATCATGACGATGACAGGACAGTCTTCCTGCCAGGCCATCTGCCAGAAATCATTCACTGTGTTGATCATGGGACCTTGGGTGGCAATGTAAGCCTTCTCATCGCCTAGGTAACCCTGCAGGGACAGAGAGAGGTAGGGAGGGAGGGAGAGAGAGAGAGGTAGGGAGAGAGAGAGGAGGGGAGAGAGAGAGGGAGGGAGAGAGGACCATTAGCAGACTGATACACAGGAATCCTGGACTGGCCCAATTATTTATTTTTAAAAACCATCACTAGATTGGGGACTAGTTTGTTAAGGCATAATGAATGGAAAGGTTGTTTAGACAGCAGACCAATTCGTTAGATGTTAATATTTCTGTCTGAATGTGTGTTGCTATGACCCATTTCAGTCCCAGGAGACTCAGTGGAACGCTGATTACCGCTAGCTACTGTCCAGGGAGGATAAACCACGGCAGGTCTGATTAGACTCAGTGGAACGCTGATTACCGCTAGCTACTGTCCAGAGAGGATAAACCACGGCAGGTCTGATTAGACTCAGTGGAACGCTGATTACCGCTAGCTACTGTCCAGGGAGGATAAACCACGGCAGGTCTGATTAGACTCAGTGGAACGCTGATTACCGCTAGCTACTGTCCAGGGAGGATAAACCACGGCAGGTCTGATTAGACTCAGTGGAACGCTGATTACCGCTAGCTACTGTCCAGGGAGGATAAACCACGGCAGGTCTGATTAGCCTCAGAGGAACGCTGATTGTTGCTAGCTACTGTCCAGGGAGGATAAACCATGGCAGCTCTGATTAGCCTCAGAGGAACGCTGATTGTCGCTAGCTACTGTCCAGGGAGGATAAACCACGGCAGGTCTGATTAGACTCAGTGGAACGCTGATTACCGCTAGCTACTGTCCAGGGAGGATAAACCACGGCAGGTCTGATTAGACTCAGTGGAACGCTGATTACCGCTAGCTACTGTCCAGGGAGGATAAACCACGGCAGGTCTGATTAGCCTCAGTGGAACGCTGATTACCGCTAGCTACTGTCCAGGGAGGATAAACCACGGCAGGTCTGATTAGACTCAGTGGAACGCTGATTACCGCTAGCTACTGTCCAGGGAGGATAAACCACGGCAGGTCTGATTAGACTCAGTGGAACGCTGATTACCGCTAGCTACTGTCCAGGGAGGATAAACCACGGCAGGTCTGATTAGCCTCAGTGGAACGCTGATTACCGCTAGCTACTGTCCAGGGAGGATAAACCACGGCAGGTCTGATTAGCCTCAGTGGAACGCTGATTATCGCTAGCTACTGTCCAGGGAGGATAAACCACGGCAGGTCTGATTAGCCTCAGTGGAACGCTGATTACCGCTAGCTACTGTCCAGGGAGGATAAACCACGGCAGGTCTGATTAGACTCAGTGGAACGCTGATTACCGCTAGCTACTGTCCAGGGAGGATAAACCACGGCAGGTCTGATTAGACTCAGTGGAACGCTGATTACCGCTAGCTACTGTCCAGGGAGGATAAACCACGGCAGGTCTGATTAGCCTCAGTGGAACGCTGATTACCGCTAGCTACTGTCCAGGGAGGATAAACCACGGCAGGTCTGATTAGCCTCAGTGGAACGCTGATTACCGCTAGCTACTGTCCAGGGAGGATAAACCACGGCAGGTCTGATTAGACTCAGTGGAACGCTGATTACCGCTAGCTACTGTCCAGGGAGGATAAACCACGGCAGGTCTGATTAGCCTCAGTGGAACGCTGATTATCGCTAGCTACTGTCCAGGGAGGATAAACCACGGCAGGTCTGATTAGACTCAGTGGAACGCTGATTACCGCTAGCTACTGTCCAGGGAGGATAAACCACGGCAGGTCTGATTAGACTCAGTGGAACGCTGATTACCGCTAGCTACTGTCCAGGGAGGATAAACCAAGGCAGGTCTGATTAGACTCAGTGGAACGCTGATTACCGCTAGCTACTGTCCAGGGAGGATAAACCACGGCAGGTCTGATTAGCCTCAGTGGAACGCTGATTACCGCTAGCTACTGTCCAGGGAGGATAAACCACGGCAGGTCTGATTAGCCTCAGTGGAACGCTGATTACCGCTAGCTACTGTCCAGGGAGGATAAACCACGGCAGGTCTGATTAGACTCAGGGGAACGCTGATTATCGCTAGCTACTGTCCAGGGAGGATAAACCACGGCAGGTCTGATTAGCCTCAGTGGAACGCTGATTACCGCTAGCTACTGTCCAGGGAGGATAAACCACGGCAGGTCTGATTAGCCTCAGTGGAACGCTGATTACCGCTAGCTACTGTCCAGGGAGGATAAACCACGGCAGGTCTGATTAGCCTCAGTGGAACGCTGATTACCGCTAGCTACTGTCCAGGGAGGATAAACCACGGCAGGTCTGATTAGACTCAGTGGAACGCTGATTACCGCTAGCTACTGTCCAGGGAGGATAAACCACGGCAGGTCTGATTAGACTCAGTGGAACGCTGATTACCGCTAGCTACTGTCCAGGGAGGATAAACCACGGCAGGTCTGATTAGACTCAGTGGAACGCTGATTACCGCTAGCTACTGTCCAGGGAGGATAAACCACGGCAGGTCTGATTAGACTCAGTGGAACGCTGATTACCGCTAGCTACTGTCCAGGGAGGATAAACCACGGCAGGTCTGATTAGACTCAGTGGAACGCTGATTACCGCTAGCTACTGTCCAGGGAGGATAAACCACGGCAGGTCTGATTAGACTCAGTGGAACGCTGATTACCGCTAGCTACTGTCCAGGGAGGATAAACCACGGCAGGTCTGATTAGCCTCAGTGGAACGCTGATTACCGCTAGCTACTGTCCAGGGAGGATAAACCACGGCAGGTCTGATTAGCCTCAGTGGAACGCTGATTACCGCTAGCTACTGTCCAGGGAGGATAAACCACGGCAGGTCTGATTAGCCTCAGTGGAACGCTGATTACCGCTAGCTACTGTCCAGGGAGGATAAACCACGGCAGGTCTGATTAGACTCAGTGGAACGCTGATTACCGCTAGCTACTGTCCAGGGAGGATAAACCACGGCAGGTCTGATTAGACTCAGTGGAACGCTGATTACCGCTAGCTACTGTCCAGGGAGGATAAACCACGGCAGGTCTGATTAGCCTCAGTGGAACGCTGATTGTTGCTAGCTACTGTCCAGGGAGGATAAACCACGGCAGGTCTGATTAGACTCTACGGTGTGAAAAAGAAAACGAGCGATATGTCCCATATGGCACCCTATTCCCTATATAGTGCACTACTTTTGACCAGAGTGTTGTGCACTAAATAGGGAATAGGGTGCCATTTTGGACACGGCCTAATAGTTGAGCTTCCTGCGGTGACTACAGGGGAAGTGACCCTATTGTATCTGCAGCCCAACGGGCCATTGGAGACTGAGTTCACTAGTTCCTCTGGCTCCGCCTCTCTCCTTCTCCCTCTGTTCTCTCCATAGACTTCCATGGAAACATCCGAAACAATGTCCTCCATCCCCCCTGGCCTCACTGCTGCGCTTTTCCTTCCCAAGATGTATGAACCTGATAAGACCTGAAGTTGTTTGCTTAAAAGGGAACAATCACTTTAAACAAACCAAGTCTTATGTCACACCACTCGGTTCAACAACAGTGGGATATGACTTCATGTAATATGAAATATGACTGCATAAGCTACACTAAAGATGATCAGTTAGAATCAAGTGTGTGATGGGGTAATCGAACTACAACGTTTCATGAGTTCAATCTCTAATCTGTTTTAATCTGACTTTGCATACCTGTACGGCCAACTGAAAGCTTTTTACCTGTTCATTATGAGAGTGCTATGATGTTTCACATAGTTTCCAACCACTTCTTTTTTGTTGGGTTCACAATTCAATGTGTTCACGAACAGAACAGTCCCAGTGGGCTCACATACCTGGTGGAGGCTGTAATAACTTACCCTGTCATTTGCATTGATGTGTGTGTGTGTATGTGTGTGTGTGTATGTGTGTGTGTGTGTGTGTGTGTGTGTGTATGCATGTGTGTGTGCTTGCGTGTGTGGGTGTGTTGTGTTCGCGTGCATATGTGTGTGCATGCGTACCTGTCTGTGTATGTCTGTGTGTCTGTGTCTGTGTCTGTAAGTGTGTGTGTCTGTGTACTTGTGTTCGTGCCTGTGTATGCGTATGAGTATCTGTGTATGTGTGTGTGTGTGTGTGTGTGTGTGTGTGTGTGTGTGTGTGTGTGTGTGTGTGTGTGTGTGTGTGTGTGTGTGTGTGTGTGTGTGTGTGTGTGTGTGTGTGTGTGTGTGTGTGTGTGTGTGTGTGTGTGTGTGTGTGTGTGTGTGTGTGTGTGTGTGTGTGTGTGTGTGTAACTTACCCTAACGTAGTTGGCGTTGATGTAGCTGCTGAGAGGGTCGAAGGAGCTCTTGGTCCTCAGGATCACTCTGGAATGTGGATCTAAAGGAGACAATAGATCTGTTAGTGACTGGAGGGTTCCAGCTATTGGAATCAGATAGATCTGTTAGTGACTGGAGGGTTCCAGCTATTGGAATCAGATAGATCTGTTAGTGACTGGGGGTTCCAGCTATTGGAATCAGATAGATCTGTTAGTGACTTGGGGTTCCAGCTATTGGAATCAGATAGATCTGTTAGTGACTGGAGGGTTCCAGCTATTGGAATCAGATAGATCTGTTAGTGACTGGGGGTTCCAGCTATTGGAATCAGATAGATCTGTTAGTGACTGGGGGTTCCAGCTATTGGAATCAGATAGATCTGTTAGTGACTGGGGATTCCAGCTATTGGAATCAGATACAGTACCAGTCAAAAGTTTGGACACACCAACTAATTCCAGGGTTTTTCTTTATTTTTACAATTTTTTACATTGTACAATAATAGTGAAGACATCAAAATAATGAAATAACACATATGGAATCATGTTGTAACCAAAGAAGTGTTAAACAAATCAAAATATATTTTATATTTGAGATTCTACAAATAGCCACCCTTTGCCTTGATGACAGCTTTGCACACTCTTGGCATTCTCTCAACCAGCTTCACCTGGAATGCTTTTCCAACAGTCTTGAAGGAGTTCCCACATATGCTGAGCACTTGTTGGCTGCTTTTCCTTCACTCTGCCGTCCAACTCATCCCAAACCATCTCAATTGGGTTGAGGTCGGGGGATTGTGGATGCCAGGCCATCTGATGCAGCACTCCATCACCCTCCTTCTTGGTAAAATAGCCCTTATACAGCCTGTAGGTGTGTTGGGTCATTGTCCTGTTGAAAAATGAAGGATAGTCCCACTAAGCCCAAACCAGATGGGATGGCGTATCGCTGCAGAATGCTGTGGTAGCCATGCTGGTTAAGTGTGCCTTGAATTCTAAATAAATGACAGTGTCACCAGCAAAGCACCCCCACACCATAACACCTCCTCCTCCATGCTTTAAGGTGAGAACGACGCATGCGGAAATCATCCATTCACCCACACCGCGTCTCACAAAGACACGGTAGTTGGAACCAAAAATCTCAAATTTAGACTCCAGACCAAAGGACAAATTTCCACCGGTCTAATGTCCATTGCTCATGTTTCTTGGCCCAAGCAGGTCTCTTCTTCTTATTAGTGTCCTTTAGTAGTGGTTTCTTTGCAGCAATTCGACCATGAAGGCCTGATTCACACAGTCGCCTCTGAACAGTTGATGTTGAGATGTGTCTGTGACTTGAACTCTGTGAAGCATTTATTTGGGCTGCAATTTCTGAGGCGGGTAACTCTAATGAACTTATCCTCTGCAGCAGAGGTAACTCTGGGTCTACCATTCCTGTGGCAGTCCTCATGAGAGCCAGTTTCATCATAGCGCTTGATGGTTTTTGCGACTGCACTTGAAGAAACGTTCAAAGTTCTTGAAATGTTCCGTATTGACTGACTTCATATCTTAAAGTATGATGGACTGTTGTTTCTCTTTGCTTATATGGGCTGCCATAATATGGACTTGGTCTTTTCCCAAATAGGGCTATCTTCTGTATACCCCCCCCCCCCCCCCCCCCCCCTACCTTGTCACAAAACAACTGATTGGCTCAAACGCATTAAGAAGGAAAAAAACACCACAAATGAACTATTAAGAAGACACACCTGTTAATTGAAATGAATTCCAGGTGACGACCTCATGAAGCTGGTTGAGAGAATGCCAAGAGTGTGCAAAGCTGTCATCAAGGCAAGGGGTGGCTATTTGAAGAATCTTAAATATAAAATATAATTTGATTTGTTTAACACTGTTTTGGTTACTACATGATTCCATATGTGTTATTCCATAGTTTTGATGTCTTCACTATTATTCTACAATGTAGAAAATAGTAAAAATAAAGAAACACCCTAGAATGAGTAGGTGTGTCCAAACCTTTGACTGGTACTGTAGATCTGTTAGTGACTGGGGGTTCCAGCTATTGGAATCAGATAGATCTGTTAGTGACTGGGGGTTCCAGCTATTGGAATCAGATAGATCTGTTAGTGACTGGGGGTTCCAGCTATTGGAATCAGATAGATCTGTTAGTGACTGGGGGTTCCAGCTATTGGAATCAGATAGATCTGTTAGTGACTGGGGGTTCCAGCTATTGGAATCAGATAGATCTGTTAGTGACTGGGGGTTCCAGCTATTGGAATCAGATAGATCTGTTAGTGACTGGGGGTTCCAGCTATTGGAATCAGATAGATCTGTTAGTGACTGGGGGTTCCAGCTATTGGAATCAGATAGATCTGTTAGTGACTGGGGGTTCCAGCTATTGGAATCAGATAGATCTGTTAGTGACTGGAGGGTTCCAGCTATTGGAATCAGATAGATCTGTTAGTGACTGGGGGTTCCAGCTATTGGAATCAGATAGATCTGTTAGTGACTGGGGGTTCCAGTGTAAAGGTTTTGACGGACAGTAGCTCAGTATAGTACAGTCAATGCTTGTGTACAAGACAGGATAGGCCAGGACAGGAAATAGCACCATAACACGTTCTTTTGTTCTCTGGCACGTCTTTCAAGTCTGTCAAGTCGGGCAGTTTGTCAAGTCTGGACTGAACATTACATCAGTTTGTCACCAAGTAAACAACACATTGCCTCACTCAATCCATATTCTTCCTCTACCTCCATTAGACATATCTCACAAGGCTTTGATGGGGACCAGACCCGTACTCAGCCATTGCAATGTGGACAGGCAGGACAATTGACACACCCACTAACATGTCTTTACAGTCTGTCACAGAGTAAGAACACCTTGCCTCACTCCATCCTGTTTCTTCTCTACTTCTTAGTTCAAGACGACTTGTTCTGTCCCTGGACTGTTAGGTTCTGGAGTGTTCTGTCTGGAGTGTGGTCTGGTTCTGGACTGTTTCTGTATGGAGTTGTTTCTGTCTTGGAGTGTTCCGGTCTGGAGTGTTCGGTCTGGACTGGTTCTGTCTGGAGTGTTCTGTAGGGACTGTTCTGTCCTTGGAGTAGTTCTGTATGGAGGTGTTCTGTCTGGGAGTGTTTCTGTATGGGGAGTGGTTCTGTCGTGGAGGGTTTCTGTATGTAACTGTTCTGTGTATGGAGTGTTTGTTGGGTTCTGTCTGGAGTGTTCTGTCTGGAGTGTTGTCTGTCTGGACTGTTCTGTCTGGACTGTTCTGTCTGGCGTGTTCTGTCTGGACTGTTCTGTCTGGACTGTTCTGTCTGGAGTGTTCTGTCTGGAGTGTTCTGTCTGGACTGTTCTGTCTGGACTGTTCTGTCTGGAGTGTTCTGTCTGGACTGTTCTGTCTGGACTGTTCTGTCTGGAGTGTTCTGTCTGGAGTGTTCTGTCTGGAGTGCTCTGTCTGGAGTGCTCTGTCTGGAGTGTTCTGTCTGGACTGTTCTGTCTGGACTGTTCTGTCTGGAGTGTTCTGTCTGGAGTGTTCTGTCTGGAGTGTTCTGTCTGGACTGTTCTGTCTGGACTGTTCTGTCTGGACTGTTCTGTCTGGACTGTTCTGTCTGGACTGTTCTGTCTGGACTGTTCTGTCTGGAGTGTTCTGTCTGGAGTGTTCTGTCTGGAATGTTCTGTCTGGACTGTTCTGTCTGGAGTGTTCTGTCTGGACTGTTCTAGCTGGACTGTTCCTTAGCATTGCTGCGGTACATTGGACAGAAGGAACCCAGCCTCTGGACTATTGATAACCCACACCCCAACACCACACCCCAACCCCAGACCCCAACCCCAACAGACCCCAACCCCAGACCCCTCTCTGCTCTGCGTATGGAAGGAAGACTGCTGGTTCCGACAGGAAGCCTGATAACGTTCCAAGGTGGGTGTGAACAGGAAGACAATAACATTCCAACCTGTCTGTCTTTTCATTACATAATGATGTCATCTGTGATGAGAGCTGGCAGACGGGAGCACACCCCCACACACACACCCACACACACCCACACACACACACCCACACACACACACACACACACCACACACACCCACACCCACACACACACACACACACCCACACCCACACACACACACACACACACACACACACACACACACACACACACACACACCTCTGGCATCTGGCCAGAGAGAACAGGACGTCCAAGCAGAGCAGAGCTCTAACGGTATCATCCTTCATAGAGGATACGTCACAAATGACACCCTATTCCCTATTTAGTGCACTACTTTTGATCAGGGTCCCACAGGACTATATTAGGGTATAGGGCGCCATCTGGGAAGCAGACAGAGGCTCTTTAAGGTAGCAGGAAGGAACAGTTCATCTCAGACATTAACGTTTTGGTCATCTTTGACCCCTTAACTCCGCCCACTCCGTCCACCAGGCTAACCAACCAGACAGGACAGCGCTAAAACACTTCCTTTATGACCAGGAGAGGTTGTGGCGGTTGACCGTGTTGTTTGGTTGTAAGGAGTGCGGGCGTATTCAGTGTTGCTTAGCAACGGTGAGGTCGACCGGCCAATCGCATGCTGTAAACAACAATGTATCATGCATTGCAGAGAATGTGTGTGTGTGTGTGTGTATGTGTGTGTGTGTCTGTGTGTGTGTGTTTTTGAGGCCAAAGGTTGACAATAACAGACAGTGACTGGTTGACAGAACTGCTGCTGTGTGAGATAGATAGGCCTAATCTACTGAGACATAACACTGCCCCCTCACATTAACACCATAGCCTTAGTCTGTGGACCGCACAACAGGTTGTGGTTCTGTGGGTGTGGTCAAATAGTCATTATAAACTGGGTGGTTCCAGCCCTGAATGCTGATTGGCTGAAAGCTGTGGTATATCAGACGGTATAACATTGGTATGACAAAACATTTATTTTTACTGTTCTAATTACGTTGGTAACCAGTTTATAATATCAATAAGGCACCTCGGGGGGTTTGTGGTATATGGCCAATATACCACGGCTAAGGGCTGTGTCCAGGCGTTGCGTTGTGCGTAAGAACAGCCCTTAGCCGTGGTATATTGGCCATTTACCACACCCCCTCGGGCCTTATTGCTTAATTAACTAATACATATTAAAAAGCTAATATACTTACTTGGCAGTATTGTCTTGTATCTGTTTTTGGTTCCATGACTGGAAATGTCCATCTCCTTTGGATCCACAAAGTTCATTGGGATTTCCTGAAGAAGAACATGAAGAAAACCGGACAGCAAAGACACAATTAACTCATGAATCAATTGGTTTAAATAACCCATAAATGTTGAGGTGGATTGTTCCACATACAAAATAAAATGGGCTATCTGGCCTTGAATTACAGAGTTGATATTCAAGTTGTTGACCACAGGAACACAACGTTGTGTGGTGGTTGTGTGAATGTTTTGTTCACGAACCCGGCGTTTAGCGTCTGTGTGTTGAGCACCACGTCTCATAGCTGTGTTTGTGTGTTTGTGTTGAGCATGCATCACAGGAGGCTGGTGAGGGGAGAACAGCTCATCATAATGGATGGAATGGAGAGAATGCAATGGTATCAAACTCAATGGAAAACCAGGTGTTTGATGTTTGATACCATTGCATTCATTCTGTTCCAGCCATTACTATGATCCTATCATCCCCGCCTAAAGTGCCACCAGTGGCATGCATGTGTGTGTGTTTGTGTTGAGCATGTATGTGTGTGTGTGTGTGTGTGTGTGTGTGTGTGTGTGCCGTGCATGCGTGTGTTCATTCCACTCACAGCGAACTCTGCGTGTAGCGTCTGTGTGTTGAGCACCACGTCTCGTAGCTGCTGTCTGGACAGGGTCCGGCCGGCTGACTGCAGGTACTCCTGAGTAGCCCTCTCTCTGGGGGTCACCACCCCACCGTTCAGGGGCTCCACCGCTGCCAGGGAGGACATGTCCAGCACCAAGGATACGTTGGAACCTCTCCTACAGGACAAAAAAACACACATTCACACGAACATTGTTGTCGTTTCCTTTTCTCCGAATGTGTTTCTGTGGTGTTTCTATGGACAGAGTTGATTAGGATCATAAACAAACAGTATTCTGCCTAGCAACAGGGCCAACACATTACCGTAACTGGCTAATCAAGGGAACACTTGTTGAACTGGACTGGACTATCTTTTTTTTGTCCCTCATCATCTGCTGAAGGACAAATGTGTTGGTCTTTTCGCACGCCCACATAACATCACCTTCTCATTGTTTACCCTGGCCCAATCAGAGGGGGGTAAATATGGCGTCCGGTCCCGGTTGGCTGGACTTCCAGAACAACAACAAAACTGTTAACATTCTAGAACACACTCTGGCTAATGACCAATCACCACGGAGACAGGTCTTCCTGACCCCTGACACCAGCTATAAAACACACATGCGCGCGCACGCACATGCACAGATGAATACACACATGCACGCACACACATATGCAGACACACGCGCACGCATACACACAGTATACACTCTCACACACAAACGCACACACACACACACACACGCACGTCCCTTCTCTTCCTGGTGATCTAGGACTACTGGCCTCAGTGATAGTAAATCCATTGGATGGATTATGTAACAGAATACTTTACAACAGGATGTGTTCTAAATCTCTCTCTCTCTCTCTCTCTCTCTCTCTCTCTCTCTCTCTCTCTCTCTCTCTCTCTATCTCTCCCCATCTTGCTGCTCAGCCATTGTATGATCTCGATGACAATTTTGCCAAAAAGCTTCAACGACGCAGAGACCAGCATATCTCTGTTTTCTCAGTTGTTGACACTGAATGCAGAGCACAGACTAAAAGGCATTATGGCTGGCCACTGTCGTCTGGTGTGTTTCAGTCTGGACCAGACGTTCACTGTTGTGTGTCCACTCTGAACCGCAGTCCTGCAACAATCAGCCCCAATGGCGGCTCAGGAAGTAGCCAGTTTCCTGTCAGAGAGTCACGCCTTTCCCTTTTGTTCTGCTGGTCTGAGCCCAAATGGCAGCCTATTTAGAGAGGCAGTGGAGGCATGGGTTAGGGCTGGTGGTCACTGTCTCTCTATAGGGTTTTACTTGACAATAACCAGAAGGTCATTGGAATGTCACCACTAGTCACAGCAGAAGATGGCATATTGCGGATTCCTGGCCAACCTTTCCCTGGCCTGCAAGGTTCTTTCCACTCCTCAAGTTTCTAAGTGTATATTGTTTAAAAAATATATACTGATGATAGCGTTGATGTGTTTCCTCTTCTTCTCAAATAATAGATACATTCTAACCCACATTTACAGTTGAAGTTGGAAGTTTACATACACCTTAGCCAAATACATTTAAACTCAGTTTTTCACAATTCTTGACATTTAATCCTAGTAAAAATTCCCTGTCTTAGGTCAGTTAGGATCACCACTTTATTTTAAGAATGTGAAATGTCAGAATAATAGTAGAGAGAATGATTTATTTCAGCTTTTATTTATCTCATCACATCCCCAGTGGGTCAGAAGTTTACATACACTCAATTAGTATTTGGTAGCATTGCCTTTAAATTGTTTAACTTGGGTCAAACGTTTTGGGTAGCCTTCCACAAGATTCCCACAATAAGTTGGGTGAATTTTGGCCCATTCCTCCTGACAGAGCTGGTGTAACTGAGTCAGGTTTGTAGGCCTCCTTGCTCGCACATGCTTTTTCAGTTCTGCCTACAAATGTTCTATAGGATTGAGGTCAGGGCTTTGTGATGGCCACTCCAATACCTTGACTTTGTTGTCCTTAAGCCATTTTGCCACAACTTTGGAAGTATGCTTGAATAAGAATGCATTGTCCATTTGGAAGACCCATTTGCGACCAAGCTTTAACTTCCTGACTGATGTCTTGAGATGTTGCTTCAATATATCCACATAATTTTCCTTCCTCATGATGCCATCTATTTTGTGAAGTGCACCAGTCCCTCCTGCAGCAAAGCTTCCCCACAGCATGATGCTGCCACCCCCGTGCTTCATGTTTGGGATGGTGTTCTTCGGCTTGCAAGCATCCCCCTTTTTCCTCCAAACATAATGATGGTCATTATGGCCAAACAGTTCTATTTTTGTTTCATAAGACCAGAGGACATTTCTCCAAAAAGTACGATCTTTGTCCCCATGTGCAGTTGCAAACCGTAGTCGGGCTTTTTTATGGCGGTTTTGGAGCAGTGGCTTCTTCCTTGCTGAGCGGCCTTTCAGGTTATGTCGATATAGGACTCGTTTTACTGTGGATATAGATACTTTTGTACCTGTTTCCTCCAGCATCTTCACAAGGTCCTTTGCTGTTGTTCTGGGATTGATTTGCACTATTTGCACCAAACTACGTTCATCTCTAGGAGACAGAACACGCCTCCTTCCTGAGCGGTATGATGGCTGCGTGGTCCAATGGTGTTACAAGTACACCTCCAATTGACTCAAATTATGTCAATTAGCCTATCAGAAGCTTCTAAAGCCATGACATAATTTTCTGGAATTTTCCAAGCTGTTTAAAAGGAACAGTCAACTTAGTGTATGTAAACTTCTGACCCACTGGAATTGTGATACAGTGAATTATAAGTGAAATAATCTGTCTGTAAACAATTGTTGGAAAAATTACTTGTGTCATGCACAAAGTAGATGTCCTAACTGACTTGCCAAAATTATAGTTTGTTAACAAGACATTTGTGGAGTGGTTGAAAAACTAGTTTTAATGATTCCAACCTAAGTGTATGTAAACTTCTGACTTCAACTGTATATAGAGTAAATACACATTCAGTGTCCTCTCTTCCGCAGACCTGAGCGTTATCAGGCGTTCTCAAACAGCACTCGAAAATGTTCCAAAGCGCTTGACAATATTCCAAAAATCATATGTATCTATAACCATAAGACCCCTGCCAGTGAAATGCTCTCTCATTGTATTTTATCATAGTTCATTGTTTTATATAAAGAACATTCCAGATAGAGCCGTGTTCCGGAACACTCTCCCACTTCCTTCTTATAAATGTCAGGATGACTTGTGACTATGAACCCTCTCAACTGAAGGAGAAGAACATAAGGCCTCAATCTCAATTAATCTTTCCTCGATTCCTCGCACCCTCTCTCCTCACCTCCTTCTCAACCGTATTAGAGGAGAAGGTCCGAGGGGAGGGACCATGAACCTTCTCCTCCAATGGGTTTTGAGAAGGGGGTGAGGAGAAGAGGCGAGGAATCGAGGTATGATTAATTGAGAAAGAACCAAGAAGTCCTCTCCTTCTCCTCCTCCTCCTCCTTCCCTCCTCCTCCCCCCCCTCCTCCTCCTCCCCCCTCCTCCTCCTCCTTCCCTCTACCTCCTCCTCCTCCTCCTTCCCTCCTCTCCCCCCTCCTCCTCCTCCTTCCTGTTTTCTCCTACCTCAGACTAAGGCAGCAGAGGTGGTCTACCCCTCGATCTACACGTACGCTACGGAGAACACCTGCCACATAACACAATTAGATGTTAGAGGTCGGGGGAAAGTACCATGGTTCAATGCCTCTAGACTCCGGCCAGCATGTAACAGTGCACCTGAGTGCAGAGGGATGTGATAACATAACCCAGAAGTTACTGCCGGGAGATTATACAATCATTTTGTGTGTAGCTACAACAACTAATCTGCTTGATGGAAATGCACGATGAAAACCTTCAAACCAGTTTCAATCTCTAGACCAGGGGCATTCAAATCTTACCCTACGAGGTCCGGCCTACTGCTGATTTAATGTTCTACCTGATATTTAATTACATCCACCTTGTGTCCCAGGTCTAAATCAGCCCCTGATTGTTTTAAAGCAGTGGAACTGTCTTCCAGGTCCAGATTAGAATTTGAGGGCTCTAGTCTAGACTATTCAAACTGTGTCTCTCTCTGTGTCTCTCTGTGTCTCTCTCTGTGTCTCTCTTTTTCTCTCTGTGTCTCTCTGTGTCTCTCTGTGTCTCTCTTTTTCTCTCTGTCTCTCTCTCTCTCTCTCTCTCTCTGTGTCTCTCTCTCTGTCTCTCTCTGTCTCTCTCTGTCTCTCTCTGTCTCTCTCTGTGTCTCTCTGTGTCTCTCTCTCTGTGTGTCTCTCTCTCTCTCTCTCTCTCTCTGTGTCTCTCTTGGTGTATCTCTCTCTCTGTCTCTCTCTCTGTCTCTCTCTGTGTCTCTCTCCTGTCCTCTCTATCTGTGTCTCTTCTCTGTGTCCTCTCTTGTTCTCTCTGTTCCGCTCTTTTCTCTCTGTCCTCTCTGTGTCTCTCTTTTTCTCTCTGTGTCCTCTCTGTGTCTCTCTCTGTCTCTCTCTGGTCTCTCTCTATGTGTCTCTCTCTGTGTCTCTCTCTGTCTCTCTCGTGTCTCTCTTCTCGTCCCTCTGTTCTCTTCCTTTCCC